GGGCACGCTATATATTACTAAATATTTAGTGTACGTGTCAAAGACCACAGAAAAAAAAAAAACATGAAGGTTTTGCAGCAGGGCCACCAAAGCCTCGAGTTTTTCCTGTGGAATTTAATGCGTGCATTATAGTTATATTAAAAAGTTGTATCACTCGACTACCAAGCCTCTCGTAAATGTTGGTGCTACAACGAGGCCTCGAGCCTGTCGCTAGGAAAACAGACGTCTGGTTGTAGCTGGACAACAACTGCGTTTATTTCGGCTGCTCGTAGTTTTATACACAACGACAGGGTGGTCAGCTCTCATCACGAAAGAACACAACACGAATAACAAAATAGTAAGAAGGTAACAAGCGATACAAAACAGCGTGACATTGACTCTATAATTCTCTCTCCTCGGGCACCACACAGATAAATTTGTATTCATGCACTGGGCGCCAGCTATCAATATGTGCGGGCACCAGGGCGCACAGATTTGATTAATAAGGTGCACCCTGAGGTTCCGGAGGCGATGGTACTTGCTTTTCGAAAAGCTCGAAAGAAACTCGCCCCCCCCCCCCCCCCCCCCCCCCCCCCCCGGTAGTCGGCGCCTATGATTCACAACGCGGTACAACGCCAACAACGCTCTGAAATCAGAAGTCGCCGCTACAGCTCACCGCGCCAGCCGCGCTCATGACCACGCAATTTTACCGAAACCTACGGTTCATTGTTGATGTCACCTTTTCACGACAGGTTGTACGGCAGGAAAGCAGAACGTAAGTTTCGGTTTCGTCAATTTATTTCACACGAAATGATAAGCTTCATAGAATTATATTAAAAGATTGAGCATATTGCTAGGTTCCTACAGAATCGAAAAACAGTCCTTTCTATATATAAAAAAAAAAAGTTTAAAGTCTTCTTTACGGTCACTTTAATAAGACACTGCAACCAAATTCTAGAGCCTATTTTATTATCTAAATCAGTTGTTCTAAAATGGGGATCCGTGAAGCCCTGCATCATTGGATAGGCCCGGCAATAATAGTTCTTTTTTTTTCTTGACAAGAAACGTTCCAATTTCCGGGTGAGTTTTCTCGTGTGTATGTCAATTGGAGAAGTTTACTTCACACTAACCCTCAGTTGTATCCATTTATTAAATCATTATCATAATTAACCTGTACCTTTGCCTTCCCTTCACTACGAACGGGGTCCTCCATCAACTCCCCCGACCACAAGGGGTCCGGGAAACATCAACGGTTGAGAACCACTGATCTAAATGACCACCACGTTCTGGCCACACCACAGACACAAATATTTTTCCTCAAAAAGACACCAAAACATTATTTAAAAAGAATTAACCGAATGTAGCTACGTCCCTAACGCGTTGAGAACGCCAAGTCGCAGAGCTGCTAACCACGCCAGCCTTCAATCAGCCTTGCTCGTGCTGCAACAAGTGATGCCACTAGGTACGGCTCCCATGATGGATCGCGCTCTTCAATGGCCGATCTTCGAGAGCTCGCTGGAGCCGGTCCTTTGGAGCGAAAAATATAGCCATCCATTCAAAATACAAGTGTGCGATTGTCATTAGCATATTGAGTTGATCATGTTTAAATTATTCTGAACTTGTATGAGGTATATTCTAAGTTTCGATTCAGTATTCCTTTATTTATGCTCGCCGAGGTTTTTACTTGTGCATGACCATGACCAACCGGGGGGGGGGGGGGGGGGGGTGCAAGGGGGGCGCTTTCCCCCCCCCCCCAGTTCTCAGAGTGTGTGTGGGGGGGGGGGGGCAAGGCATGTGTTTTGTCCCCCCCCCCCCCCCCCCCGAAACATCCTGCACTGGGCAGGGCAAACACACGCCGGCGGCTCCCAAGGGGGGAATCTGGTTTGCCCCCCCCCCCCCTCTCACACTGAAAAACAAGTTAGTACTCCACTGTACATGACATATGAGAGCCCAACTGCCCAGAACAGAATTTTCGGCTCGAAATTCGGTTTCTTTCCGCCCGAAAACGGCCGATCGAGAACTGGCCGGTTTGAGTCGCGCTCACTCTCTTCTTTGTGGTCACGGGCCGTTGTCTAAGGTTTAGACACCACCACCAAATTTATTTAAAGTATCAGGGTCATTAAAAGCGCACACTCAATATGAAAAAAAAAAATGAAATCCACTTTTTGTGGCTTCTAGAAAACTGCAAATACGTTAATTGAAAAAAAAAAAAAAAAAAAGTCGCTGAGAGAACATGGCGTTGTATCGCATATTCTAGGACTTGCGGGCTGGACGGCGATGGGAGCGGACGACGGGCGTGGGATCTCTACTTCAGATCTGTCTTCCCTCGAAAGCGGAATTTTGGACCGATCAAAAGAAGTGGGATTCATTCCGTACGACAGGCCCGACCACCAAACCGATTTGCACGAAGACGTCGCCGAGCCGTCGCCCCTTCTCGTGGCTGAAGACATTGCTCGCGCAAACGTCAAGCACGAAGTGCGTACTTCAATGGACCTTTTTCCATTAAGCTTCTGCGCATGCGTACACTCCCGCTGTCGCCATTTTCGCAAGACACCGGGACGCGGTGCCCATGCGAAAATGGCGACAGCAACATTGTCAGCACTATCTTCTCGCGTATTTAGTATATTTTGACGCTTTGTTTTTTAGTATGGTAGTATGGGGTATAAAAAGCACTGAAAACCGATACAACGGCACGATGTCAATGTGTTTTGACGGGCGGAGGCATGCAGGGCTACTCTTCTATTATAGTTCGTTTACAACTCCCCAAACGGCGCTCCTTACTCGAAAAAGGTAAAAAAAGGTCCATTCAAATATGCACGCGTACAATTTCTTTACTAGGTGAGAGTGTTCAGTGTTGTCATTGCGTGGTGCTGCCCGACTTCGAGCCTAGGGTTGTACCTTTGTTGGGGAGAAATCGGCAGCTACCTTTTCAACCTACAGTCGACTGGCTGCATTACTCCGAGCGAAAGAGTTCCTTCGGATAGCTCACCGGAAAGGTGTCCGCTTCACACGCAGCGGACCCAAGTTCCATCCAAAGTGTAAGCGTAGTTTCTTTTTTACAGCGGAGCCCCAACATCGTGTCCCCCGCAAAGAAATGTCGACACAAAACTCTGGTTGCCGCCGTCGCTCATAGATGGCGGTAGCTGTCCAGAGTGTTGTTTGCCGGTCGCCCGCTTGCCGCCGTCACTCATAGACCGCGGCAACATTTCTTTGGGGGAAGAAGCGCGGGAACGGAATGAGCGGCGAAGTGCGCAGCAGCACGAATGGTTTCGTAATCGCCGCGGGGCCGCTATCGTCTAAAGTTCCACTGCGTCGAGCGCTTCAGATTCCCTTGCGAAAGAAGAGCAGATCGCTCGCCTGGAAAGCCACCGCCGAGAAGCTGCAGCTCTGCTGCTCTTCCTTCTTCAACAAAGTGGAAGGCTGAAAGTTTTCTTTTCTTTTTTTCAAACATTTTGCGATATTGACACATTTCTTTTTTTATAATTATCACTTTAAAAAAATGTTATGGACGAAACGAAACTGGTGCAGACTCTGCTGCACAAGCCACTTTGGGATGCAGGACCTATGAGGCAGCTCTTCACGCTAAGTCTTGGGGGCATTCACCACGGGCACTGCACACTACTCATTTCCAACTCTACAATGCACAAAAACAACTTAACTTGAAGTGCAGAACTGCGAGCGGAACAAACGTAACTGCAAAGCCATCGCACGGGAAACGGTTACCGCAATGCATGTCGTCCACTGCGCGCAACCGACAAAAAAAAAAAAAAAAAAAAAAAAAAACGAAAAAAAGAAAAAAGAAAAGCGCACGGTTGGGTGTAGTTACGTGACTTCCGGTACTCCAACCTCCCTGGTATCTCCCGCAGCTTTTCTGAGCTACCAAGTACATTTTCGGAATGCTTGGTCTCTACTAATGCTGTCATGCTACCTCTAAATTCATAATATCTATTAAGAAAAATGCAAATAAAGGGGATACCAAAACCAACATTCAAATCTTCCTGCACTTTCCAGCTATGCGACGTCACATTGCAAAACTTGCAGGAACAAGTGAAAAGACTAAGTGCACATGCGAGTTGGTGGTAGCTAATCATGCCATGTCTGTTCCTCCGACTAAAAGCTTTTTTTTTCCTTTTTTGCATCAGTCTTGGGAGTTAAACGACTAGGTCTAACAGGCAGCTTAATAAACAGAATCTCGAGGATATCTTTTTATTCAGCTGCGTGAGCTTTTACAGCCTCCATTTCACACCATCAAACTTCTTGAAACCCATTGGCAAAAAAGTTCTAGTGCCCAAATACATTTTTCACTTTTTCAGTGTTACCAGCAGTTTTTAAAAAAATTGTGAGAACAAAATTTAAAACTCAATAACCTCGTAAAAAACAAAAAACTTTTAATTTGGGTTTTTATAGTAGTTCTGCCATGTCTGCTGGTGTGTCGAATTAATTCTGAGACATATCAGCTGCCATAAATATTTTACTGGAGCCAAGACATTTATGAAAGCACGGTGCAAAAGGACTATCAAGATATTTGCGACCAGATGCCATATTTTCAGAACCGCTCTCTTATTCAAAAGCCATGCGATTTTCTGAAACTCTCAATTGAAAAATGGGGCTCTTTCGCAGTAGTTGATGCCATTCATCCCCACATATTCGTGGGCTTCGCCGGCCATTTTCTCATTGAAAATTTTCAGATTGCTTAGAAGTTTTGAATAAATTAGTTTTGAAAATTCGACATTTGGTCCGTACCACATTTGGGCAGAGACCAAGCGTTTAGCAATGCGTATATGTATACTTTATTTTTGTGGTAAAAAAAGCACATTTTCCATCGCGAACGGTGTAGACCATGAAATCGCTGTTTTGTAGTACTAGTACAGGGGCTACACACAGACCAGAGTTAATGACAAATGCTTGAAACTTTTATTAGGCACAGGCAAACACATTCCCATTTGCATATCAATGCCCCTTATTCCCAATTTATAAACTGAACTGTGTTCTAAACTACAAAAAAAAAAGGTCCATAGAAATTCACTTTTTAAACTTATTTATTATCATTCGTTCAAAGCAGAGAGACACATTTCCAGCTTTGCTTAATAAAATGTAGAGAAAACCATGGAAGCTGAGGACTCTAACATGAAACATCCACATCAAAGGAAGCATGTTGTTATGCACACACTAAGAAAATAAAAGATGGTACAACATGTGGTAAAGTGTGTTTTCTCTGTGCAACAATGGCCCACAGGTTTTGCTAACATGAAAAAGCAGGACCCAAACTAACATCCACAAGGCAGGCTTAGGCTACGGCCGACTTCAGAGCTATGCACGGCGCTGCAGTCTCAAATTTACAAAGTCCCTACAAAAAGATCCACCTCCTGCATTTAGGGCTCACAGATGAATGGATATTTACAAGACAAAAAAAAAACAAAAAACACCCTTGCCCCTTCCAGCCACCTCTGTAGCTAGTTATTGTTTGAAGAGCATGACAACACTCTACGATAATTGATATATTTCCAGGAAACACTCGATTTCATTGCCTAGCACTTGAATGCTACAAAAATTAATGCAGATTAATTCCCAAGCAAATAACATGTGATTTCTTCCACATGTTCCAAACAAATGTGGAGCCTGAAAACACAATGGGATATCTCCAAATGAGAGTGGGCTGTTTCCACTACTCAGGAACGATTTTCAGATGTAGCGTGCAGCAAGGGTAAAACTCATACTTGAAAAGGAAACTTCGGAAAAATAGTTCCTTAATGGGGCACATCGGCAAATGGAGTGCCTTTAATGAGGTGATAGCAGGATGGAGCGATGCGTAATGAATATGATGGCTTAGTGAAATGCTACAACTATGGAAGTTTGAAATAAAAAAATGAGAAGAAAACAAAACCAAAAGGACACTCCATAAGCCCAGGCATTCTTCAAAATCTAAGTATAGAAATGACTGACATTGCTGTTTCAATATAAGCACCGTCCCTTACTAATAAAGGTGAATACAAGTTCCACAGGGGAAGTCCCTTTGACAGAAACTGTCAAACGTGTGTGTGTGTGTATGTTGAAAGGGGCCGTTCAAGAAAGCGCAATAAAAACTACTCTACTCCCAAGATAGTCATTACATCTCACAAAGGAATGCTGTGTTGTACTAGTTAAAACGGAATAGAAACTAAGAAGTCCCACGCCCATATGGAGTCTACTGGTCGATGGACTGCAAAGACTGCAGTAGTTCTTCCAATGCTTTCTTTTAAACGTGGACAGCACTAAACTCTTCGGTACCTCAACGGTCATTGGCAATGCTGCCGCCTCGGAGCAACACCAAATAGAGTCTGTACGACTCGTGTTCTTATGCAGGCAAATTAACACACTGGAATTTACTCCGACAGATCCAGGAACAAAAACCACCGACAGACCAAAAGACAAATGACGCCATTTCCTTCACACAAGACTGGCATGTGCAGCATTTAACAAAACCGTCCCTAAGTGTGTTCAACAACACTCGGCATTAACCATCACGGGTATGGGGATGAGCCCATTTTAAAAACGTGCGAGGTCAGCGTGCCGTTCCGGGCAACGTGGTCGACACTAATTCCACATACTACGCGAGTATTGGCGACACTGTAGCAAGGGTGCGTACTCTTGCCGTTTGTTGCGGTGCATATTCGCAGTGTCACCCTTAGCCTATTTACATTACGCTTCGCGACTCTCGTAAAGCTGCCGCCCAACGTTCCCGCCCTCCTTCAAACGTACGAAAAGAAGCGTCGGGGCTGCAACGCGAGTGGGAAATATGCCACTTCAACTAGGACAAAACAATAGAGCAATGGTAAAATCGTTATCGAATTCATTCTCCCCAAGGTCCTCGCAATCGAGCCTTCGGTCTTCCCGTCGTCTTGGGCGGTGGCCGGGTCCGAAGCTGGCAAACGGTGGGACTTCGCTCTCTTCGAGAGGAAGACCGAAGAAACGAGCGGGAGAAACCCGAGATGGTGAAGCCAGATGAGATGGGGAAGGGCGATGTCAATGACTTTGCGGTGCTCTCCTGCCGGAATGATGGAGGGTCGCTACGTCACTCTCCTCCGCTTTCGCTCGCTCGGGGGTGTGGGGGGCGCCGGCGTGGAGCGGCCCCTCCGCGAGACGCCGTTCACCCCCGCGTCATTCGGCGTGGTCCTCGGGGAGGCTGCGCAGAAAGGGACGGTGAGTTTCGGGCCCGGGGCTTCCCCGAGAATTGCTTTCTCCAATCGAGACGTCGTGCCGGTAAACCTTTCTCTCATGATGTAGAAATATCCATCGTCGACGTTGTCTCGTGGCTACTTCTCGTTTTGTTTCTCAGATTTAGTCATATTTTCGGGGCAAATTAATCTCGCATTTGGATTCGTGGGGTAAAAATATGCTCGAATTTACCACAACAGAATTTTTAGAGAACCCCTTCGACTTCCTTTTAAAGTTTGAAGAAAAACACCCTAAATCTATGCCAGAGACCTGTTCATCACTAAAAGACATAAACTACTTTGACATCGAACAAAGCCTACGGGCTCTTTAGTGGCTCTGTATACTTCGTTAGCAGTGTTTGGAAAAGAATGAGCACAATGTAATAGCTCTCTTCACTTCATCTCACGTTAAAACAATGGCGACAAGTGTCTCGCTTTGAATTGAGCTGCACGAGCGCCTGCCAAAGCTACGAGCACATGCCGTGGTTCAGAGCACAATCCTATAATACCAAACGCAAAGAAAGGAAAGTCAACAAGATACTGCCGCCCATTCTAAGGCCTTCCTTCCAAGCCAACATAAAGAAATAATTTACATGAAATTGACAAAACAGAGGCGAGGATACCCCTTAACTTCATCAAGTAAGTTACAAATGCTTTTCCTTCAATGTTCCTGACAATCTCCCAAGTTTGTTTAGTGAAGCATATTATACAGAAGCGAGCTTAGAACGCCCTAGGCAGCCATTAACAGTTCACCCCCCCCCCCCCCCACCCCGCTAACCTAATTGGGGGGGTGAGGGGGGAGGGAAGGGGAAAGTAGTTAAGTTTGGAGGTAAAAGTTTCAATAGTAGCTAGATATGGAGTAGAGGTATGATTCCCAAAGTAACTAAATTCAGAGGTAGATTTAAAAGAAACAGCCAATTAATTTTGGAGGTGGTCACAAATTGGCCGCCTCAAAATTTTGCCGCACTAGGCAGCTGCGTACTCTGCCTATTGGTGAGTCCACCCCTGGTCTTATAAGTCCCTCGAATGGAGACTGTCAAGACTGGTTCACACATTTGAATTTGAGTGTGATCGTGCACACAGTGCTAGCTCGCAACGATGTACGATGAACACAACGGCACCATCTATCAACTACTCCTGGAGCACTTCCAATCTGCCTACAACTAGACTGAAGCTTTGGCAGTGTTTGCGAGATCAAATCTATGCACTATTTCTCCTAGATAGTTCTAGGAGAAATAGTCGCTTATAACATTGTCAAAAACCTTTTTAAAGCCCGTTATTAAAAAAAAAAAAAGATTACGTTGAAATCTTTGCTGGCGCCATGCTGATTGTCGACGAAATGCGTCAAAATTTAGCGGGGGGGGTTCCAGCTCCAACCTCGCAACGGACCGGACCGTGTACCATCGCAAACTGGAGAGTCGGTCCGTTCTCCCGGGTGTCGGCAATTTCGTGCAAACGACGCGGTCGCTGCGCCTCTGTCTTACCTTGTCGCGTATGTCGCACTTACTAGGAAAACAAAACCATCTGCCTATGCACTGGTGACCTCGCAAGAGGAGTGTGCATCTACGACAGCGCATCATTGGAAGCGTGCCAGAAGACTCTTTCCCTCTAGTAAGAGGGTAAGCGGGCGTAACGAGCAAGGAACAAAGAGGAAGAGCATGGCGGGAACTGCACCGCAGCTGCACGAAACCGGTCCAGTTCGGTTTAAACCACGACTGTGCAAACCAGAGACGGCTGCGTGCACCGGGTCAATAAATGCTAACACGTTTAATATACACGCGGGTTGCAAGTGTTTCCTGTCGGAAAAAAAACGTTGCCTGACCTTCGGAGTGCTGCCTCGAAGTTTCACAGGGTGGAAAAGCCCCTACTCCTCTAACCCTCCTGACCACCGCAAGCAGATCTCGAACTCTGCTCGCTTACACGCGAGAGGCCGACAAGCTCGGTACGTCCGGTCATCCGTCCCTCCCCGCCCCTTCCTCTTCGGCTCGGACGACTCCATAATCACCGTCCAAACGAGAACAGCAGGGTGCGCCTTTCAAACACCCAGCCTCCAGTGTGCAGTCCGTGCCTTCTGCCACGCTTAGGCCGCACGTGTGCACTAGAGGCGCTTGAAACGCCCGGGTGTAGCCGAAAGCAGAAGGCTCTTACTGAAAGCGGGATGACGGAAGCTTCATCCTGCCGGTCTCGCCTTGTCCGTGACTATGGTCAAGAGAACTGGAGTGCACCCCCTTTCGCTTAAGGGGGGACACTGGCTAGAGGTCAAACTTTTGAACTACTCAAGTGATCAAAACGAAATTTTCAGGGGAGATTTAGCTTCAGAAGTAGGTGTACTGTGCAAACTTTCAGCTCCCTAGGACAAATTTACATACCTGCGTAAGATGATGTGTCACTTTTCATTAAGAAATGTATGATATGCAAATGAAGCTAATAAGCATCACTTTGACTGCTTGAATATAAAGTGGGAGATATGGGACCTCGGGCTATCTAGCTTTAATAACTTCAATGCAAATATTTCAGGAAGAGTTATTACCTCAAAATATGAGATGCATATCTGTCCTATGTCAATTTTTGAAAACTTAGTTTTTTATCACTGAGGACTTCAACTTAAAACAAAATAAAGTAGATAGCCCGATTCCCCAGTAAATTTCAGTTCAGAAACATCTTGATTGTGGTACCCAAAAACTTTTACCTTCGAACAAAAGATTCCTTCGTAGAATTTTGCAGCAAAAAGTGGAACTGAGAAAAATGCATTTGAACATTGAACTCCTTTACTTTGTTACTGCCCCACAATGTGTTAAAAATATTTTATATCAATGAAACTATTTGGCGTATGGTTATCAAATTTGGTGTAAGGGTGTTTAATAAGTTTATATAACTGAAAACCTTAAAATTTAAAAATGGATTTAAAAAAAAAAAAAAATTAAAATATAGGCTCATGTTCCCCCTTAAATAAACAATGTTTCGAAAGAGAGCGGCTTTGAGCAAGCGCCGCAGACTCAATCTTGCCCGAACGCGGATGCACGAGCTGGGCTTCCAAGGGAGAAAGCGGGCCTCACCCGGGTACTTGGCGACGGGCGTGGAGGGGCCCTGCCTGCGGGGCGAGTTCCTGACTAGGTCCGGGACGAGCAGGCTGCGCCGCTCCTCCTCCTGGCCGTAGGCCGACATGCGGCCAATGGCGTCCTCCACCCCGGCCAGCTCCTTCTTCAGCGCCTCGTAGTCCTTCTTCTTCAGCGTGAAGGTCGTGTCCTTCTGCTTCTGCTTGTCCAGCTCCGTCTTGGCATCCTTCTGCTTCTTCATCGACACCGCCAGTTTCTTGAGCAGCTCTGCACGGAAATGGCGGGAGGTTGCTTCCATTACCGTAAACAAATTCATTTTCCTAAAAACCTACCGTAAAATACCAAGCAAGCGCCCAATCGACATTGGGAGATAAATGTGAAAAATGGGAAATGGGTGCTTGCTAGGTCCAAGAAACAAAATGCAGAAGGAGCACAAAGACGGACCACCAAACTCGGAATGGCCGTCGTTCGCAGAGTGTGCCAGCATGCGAAAACAAAATTTGGGCGTTCTTTTCGCCAACAATAAAGCGCCCTGCGACACTCAACACAGTTTCGCATCAGCGACACTCAACACGACAACTGGCACGACTGCCCCTAGGCCTAAGCACTTTCATGATTTCCCTATCGGAAAACAGACCACAGGCCATAGCGCGTTCGTTTACATCAATATATGGAATAGGCGAAACATGTCCAAGAACCGGGCAACGTCTCAATCCCAATTTTGTTGGTTATGCGTCGGTTAACCTCTTAATCGCTTTGCAAATCTCCCTCTTGCATCCATTACTTGCACTTGTGTGCTGCCACTCTTGGTTTGACTCGGCTTGGCCTGGACACTTGGCGGCTTAACTGACTTGGCGTCCACGTGGGAAAAAAAAAAAATCAATACTGACGACTGTTTTGGGGGACGCATTCATTATGCCAGTAAGTAAATAAACAAATGGCAGTACACCATACTCATATAGATACCCTAGCCGTGAACGCAATGAAGCAATCGTGCTGCTTCACATGACGCACAATTGTTTTGGTACCCCCGAGTTGTTTCTGCGTTTATTAATCCCATTTGCGTGCAGGGTGCCGCGCCATTGCGCGGCAGAGGATCTACGGCAACAGCGTGCTGAAATGCGAGACACCGACCCACGGGTTTCCGAACTATGAGAAATTCTGAAGCACGTAGATCCGTCTCGCATGTCCATCGTCTCTTTGGCGCTGGTAAAAAGCGATCACTTGTACAGTAACCGTTTTTGCGGTGAGGACTATGAAAGGCGATCCGCTCAGTGGTGGTCCAGCCAGTTTTCAGTTTGTTTTTGTGCATTTTGAAACTGGAAAAATATTTCAAAAAAATTTATCATGGGAAATACTCTCCCCATGGTTAGGGAGAGATATATATATACACACATAGCACACCACTTCCAATGACAAAAATAATGTATTTGGAAAATATTTTCCGAATCCACCTTACGCAAACTTCGCAAAATACTGAGCCCGCAAAAATGTAGTTAATTTTAGGGTTGTGCGAATATTCAAAATTTCGAATAGTAATTTTGAATAATAGACTATTTGATATTCACTCGGAGAAGAACTGCACTATTTGTGTTTTTTGAAGTGTTGATTGCGGTGGGTTAGCCCCGTTGAGTGCGCTTCTTACCGAGCACCGGTGCACAGCGGAGAAGCAATCCCCGTGGAAGCGAGCTCCGCGGGTGTTGCTTCTCTGCATTACATCGATGCTCAATGAGAAGCGCACTCAACAGGGAACCCGCGTCAATAAACACTTGGAAAAACATGAATACAGCCGACCGTTTTTTTTGGACTCCGATAATTCAGACTTGTTCGATATTTCAGATCTAAAGGAGGAACCGTGACTTACCCCATAGAAATAGTGCATATTCACTACCAATGTTTCGGACAGCTTGAAGTCCGAAAGTTCAATTATTCTGACAAAATCGTCGCAAGCGATCAGCGGGAAACACCACCGAGAAGCTGCCATTTCGAATTCTATGTTGGCTGCAAATGGACTGGCTTGGTTTGGCAGCGCTACTTGAGTACTCTCGAGTCCTAGCGCTAGGTGACGCTATGCTAGCCCTTTTTTTCCATTTAGCTGCACATCATCATCATCATCATCATTATGATTTTGCTTTGTTTCCTTCCATCCCTTCGTACCTCCACCCCACTTTCGCGTTGCCAGTCGCCAATTTGCACTCGTGGATTAGCAACTTTCATCTCGTTCGGACAACGCTGGCTTGGACGTCATGGCCCTATCTGTTCTTCTTCTGCCGCCGCGATGTGCTGTTAAGAAGCGTAGAAAGTACTCGACCATAATGCTAGAAAAGAAGGCAGCGATTCTCAAGCTAACAGAAAGTTGCCAAATGCAAACGGAGGCGTAACCTAAAACAAGGCACGCAGGCGTAACCTGGAGCAAGGCAATATTTAGAGCTTTTTTAAGCTCACTTGGAAGTAATAAAGGCAGGTTTTTCAATCTGCCAATTTTTTGGACTGTTATATTATTTAGACGTTTTCTCAGTCCCAACTAAGTCCGAATAATCGGTCGGCGACTGTATCGCAATGGCGTTCTTGGAAGAAAAGCATACATTCAAAGCGGGATAATGCATGCGTGCCGGCTGTATTTGGGAATAAATGGAAACTTTGTGAATGTGAATATCTACATTGTAGTAAAAGTTCCAAAATTAAACTGACTGTTATGCGAGAGTATACTATGTAAGGCAGAGATGCCCTTTCAACGTGCGTTCAACATGCGCAATTATTTCTTTTTTGACTCGAGATTAAAGAAGGAATATTTTCTATAGCAAGATTTGTAAATTCACTCAATTGGGTATAGTTGGCCATCTCTATAGGATTCATTTTATGTCAAATCCGTCGTTTACTTCTGATTCCAAGACATCAGACCTTATGAAGACACAGTTAAAAAATATAGATAAACTTAGCTACTAAATGAACACGTGGAACAACCTTCACAAGTTTAGCTGGGTTTTCGTCTAAGCATTACGCAATGGTAGCGAAAGGCGTGGAAAAACTATTCGATATTCGAATCAAAAAAATATTCGGCCAAAACCAGTATTCGCTTCAAACTCAAAATCCGCTATTTGCACAAGACTAAGCAATTTACAGTAGCTAAACTGATGCTTGCCCTAAAGGCTCATTTAGAGTTTGACGCTTATGGCGCACCAGTGATGACACATGCGCACGATTTTAGATTTCAAAAGAGTCTACTAGCTGACCACGAGAAAAAGAAGACCCCAAAAAACACAAGGAACTTATTTGCCAGTGAGTAGGAAGCAAATAAATACTAAGTATGCATTTCTTTTACTTTGGCGTTTTCATTTGGATCATTGATCGATCGTATGAATTTCGAAGGATACAAATATTTTCAGCGACCCCGAGATTCGTATCATCGAGATTCCGCTGCAAAACCGGGCTCGAGGATTCATTTTCGGGGTTTATTGGCATTTACCGAAAACATGCAACTTCAGTTACAAGCAAAGCTCTGCACCTCTTACGCCGTGGGCGACTTCAGTGCCCCCAAAAAAGACGATGGAAGGGGCGTCCCGACTCACGTATCTGCTCCTGGATGCGATCGACGTCCTTGACGGGGGGCTCCCCAAACACGTTGCCCTGCAGCTGGGCCAGGGAGGGCGCCCTGTTCTGGGCACCTCCAAACTTGCCCGTGCTCGCAATGCGCTCCCCCGTCCGGGCCAGCAGCGTCGGGCACGCGGAGAACTTGGTCACCTAAGAGAGCGGGACGAAAGGACACGTGCACATTACCACGAGAGATCTTCCTACGTGCATGGTACGGTGAGTTGGCAGTTTTGTTGTTGGTGCATTTGACGCTTTGTGTCTTGCTTTTCTCGACGGCAACAAGACTGAGCTTGTACGGAGTGTGCCCACACAATACCTTCAAAAAGACAGTGTTGGCTGTTCAACACTCTCCCAGCATAACAAAGATACACTGACAAAAGTAGTTGACTAAAAAGTAGCTTGTCACGATGTTTCCAAATAAACCCCCGAAGCAAACAACTATCAGCTCACTAGCTGCGCTAAACTGCTCTTTGAGACACGGACCTTTTATGGTTAAAGCCGAATTTTAAAAATTAATGTCGACATGCCCTTCTTTTTTTTTTTTAAGTTAAAGACACTATACTGCAATTAGAGTGAATGTTTAAACAAATTTCAAGGGACCCCAAGAAAAGTTGGTTTTAAGTGAAAGTTCATTCAAGAGAATGCATTAAACAAAATGGGGCTTTGATGGGGAATTTTATGGAAGTTTGTTCATCTGAATAGCTTGTACAGCTGGAGTTTTGTTCAAGTGACATTTCACTGTACATGTGCATACCAATGCACCACTCCCCTAGGTAACAAGCCCAGAGCCCCTGAAAAGAAAAAAAAAAAATGTTCTTATTTTGTTTAACAATTTAAGGGGGGACGCGGGTCCTAAAAATGCAAAAAATCGCAAAAAAGTTCTTTTTTCAAAAATCCCGTATTTGGGTGCCTTACATATCCAGGCACCTCGGTCCGAAATATTATAGCGTAATTCAAACTCAAAGACACGCGTGTCAAAAAATAAATTCTATGCAAAAAAAAAAAAAAAAAATTCTTAGTGCAATATTGATGGCACGAGACGCGATTTAGTCGGCAGTCACCTCCTTTCCACTTGTTTTCTCTCTCGGCATTTCGGGCGCGTGAAGGAGAAGTGAAGCGGCTTCGCCTTCACGACCAAGATAGTCGTTCCGGAATGACCAGTGACGTCATGGACTTCGCGCGCAGAATTTCAAATCAATCTCTCGCCGTCAACCAAAAAAAAAACATTATTTTTTTTTCGCATAATATTTCTTTTTTGACTTGCGTGTCCCAACCAGACTGTTTAAAAAAAAACTTTTTTTTTTCTTTTCAGTGGTTCTTCAAGATCTAGGCAAAATTCAACCAGTGTGAACAAGCTCTGCTGTCGAACCTGGATATAATGAATTCAAAGGGGACCACAAAATAGTTTGATATAACGACAATTCGATATACAGTTAACTTTCGTTACTTGGACCTCTGTAAATTCAACCTTTCGTTTAATTCTATCGTGTTCAGAGGTCCCGGCGAGCGCCCATATATTTCTATGGGAGGAAACGTTCGATAGTTCAAACTCTGGAAGACTTCACATTGGATAATTCGTCCCGAGCGAATGCGCGCCGGCTCACATTGCCCGGCACCACAGCAGAAAGACCACCAACGTAGGGCGAAACACGGGCCCTTTGCTGCGAAGCCGAACGTGCGCAAATATGCGCCTGCCCCTCTACACCGTGGAGACGGACCGTAGCGAATGACACGAGCCAGCGGGATTAATCTGGTGTGGAGTAGCGTGGAGAACATAGCACGTGTTTGGGCCGGAGACAGCGAGCACTTTCAAAGCGCTTTTCTGTAGCCTTGTGAAGGTCCATCTTGCGTGCCAGAAAACGCAAGTTCTCTTTTATTTATTTTTTTCTTCTTTCTTGTTATATTTTTTTTTCTATCACTGACGGCCTGGCCACCCGGTGCCAACTTCAGCTTTCTCAGCGCGCGCCCTCAAAGCGAAAGCGCTTTTCTGTAGAATCGTGTGCAATCCATCAAGCGCGTAAAAAAACTCGGGTTCTGATTTCCTTTTTTTTTGTTATTTTTCTCTGTTGCCGACAGTCTGCCCAGCACCAAAGTCAGCTCGTTAAACTTACTTTTTTCAATTTTTTTTTTTTTTTTTTTGTGGTGGCCGATTTTTTTGGGACGTGCAGTTTAGTTACGCTGCCCTCCGGAGCATGCTTTTGAACACGGATTGCGCAGACTGCAGCAGACCATCCGTGAGTACTTTGGACAATGAAAGAAAGCTTAATTTTTAACGTTTTCTGACCTTTTTTTTAATTCGATCCTTCGGATAATTTGACCGAATTTCAAGGTCCCGTCGAGGTCGAATCAACAAAAGTTTACTGCACAAAAGTATGTTAACTTAAGATCCAACTGAAATTTCAGTGCATCTCTGCAAATAGAGCGAATTCTGACAAACCAAAGTTTACCATGTGGCGCATCCAAGCACCACTAGATACAATAGAACCTTGTTAAAGCGTAGTCGGTAAAAACCACGAGTGTCGGCACACGTGCGAGCAATTTGTCGTGCTTTTGCGTGCGCATGGTGACGATTACATTGCACAAGCAACAAAACACGAAAGAAAAAAAATTGAGAGTGGGATGCCATCAACAATAAAGCAACTATCTCCTCATTAAAAAAAAAAGTCAAACAAGCAAAAAAAAAATATTGACGAAAATTAAAAACAAGTGAGAAAAGGCAAACAAAAAAAATCAGCAAAAGGAAAAGGTAAACAAGGCTAAACAAGGCATTCAAAGCACAACTGCACAATTGCTGTCAACGCACTAAACTAACTCAAAATGTTTTTTTCGGGGCTAGGGAGTCGAGGCAAAGTGCCGTCTTTCTCTGTTACCTCTGTTACCACGGCCGAATCGTTTTTCCTCGGCGTATGCAAACCGTGCAGGCGACGGCAGTGTTCGAGGAAAGTCTCCCCACCGGGGCCACGGCGCGTAGTTCAATACGTCGAATGTACCGGGTGGTGGAGCTCGATACAGACACGCAAGCCTTCCATACTGTCACACAATATTTCCGAGTTTGTTCGAAATAGGGCAATGTTCCGAAATGCCCGGGTTCCATATCGTCGGGTTCGACCACACTCTGTTCGTGCCTAAGCTGACCGGACCGATCGACAACCTCCATTTCATCACCTGATCCGACTCTCCGTGCGGCTAAGGGCAGGAGCGCAATCGCACGGCAAAACAAAGACGCACGACTGGTTCAACGAGCACATGGCTTCATCCGCACCGACGGTGTGCAGGAACGTCACTCACCTCCGTCCTGTACTTGGTGGCGTCGTCCAGCGTGTCCAGTACGATTGCGTCGCCAATGAAGTTTGCAAACACTGCCGGACAAACAGTGAGGAAAGGGTGAAACTTGGAGCCAAGCACGAGAGACAATTACAAGACCGGAATGCGAGGCAAACCGGGGACCCACGGGCCGAGCGGCCACTCACCAGATCGGCACACTTCCGGATCTTTCTGGAACATGAAGTAGTCCAGGGCAAACTTGGGGTTTCCCGTGGGGACGAAAGACTTGTTCCTCATGTGAGGGAGTAGACTGCGGAGAGTCGTGAGAGTCAGCTCAAGCTCCACGTGAGAGTATGAGACACCAATTTGAAGTAAAAAAAATAAAAAATGTCCACTGCCTCGAGAAAAAAAAAATCTGTGCTTCTACGCAGTTCACTAACCTGGGCAGATTCCGCCTGCGAATGGAGTCGACTGCAACGACCTGCTGCTTCCCGTTAGTTTTTCGGTAGACATCTTTTGCCTAAAGGAGAAGGGATAAAAGCAGCCAATTAATTTCAAAAGCCTGGGAATTCCTTCAAACTTTTGTGAAAACGTGAGAAGTAACACGACTGCAAAATGCTTGTTGTAGAAGGGCAATAGCAAACGGGAGTAGATCCTTCAGGCCGAAGTCAAACGCACACAGGGTGTCTAAAATTTGTAAAAATTTGTTAAAGCTACACTATTGTGGTCTTTGAAGCTGAGATATACGGGCAAAGAGACATAATAAATACGGCTTAATGGGGGACACATCCAAGAAAAAAAAATTCTGCAAAAAAAGTTGATTTTGAGAAATGCCATATTTACATCCACCAACATCTAGAGTATTCCCAGAAAGTTTCATTAGTTTAAACTGCATAGTTAATTTTTTATACATTATTTTCTGTCCACTGATGCCAAAGAAAAGGTAGGGGTTGGAGCACTTTCAACACATTTTTCTCAGTTCAGCTTTTTGGCAGTAATAAAACTATCGCTTCAGTATGAAACCATTAAGGCTTAATATTTGTGGCTTATATGCCGAAATATTATAAAGCTGGTATCTATAAACTTAGATTTTGCATTTCCATGTTCCTTTATTATGAAAAATCATAATTTGCAAAACTAGGTAAATGTGAAAAAAAAAAAAAAAATTGTAAATCCTTTTTTACTTGAAAAACCTTTTTTCATCTTTTCATAGTAACTGGCAACAAATATTCCAGTATAAACTCCACCAGAAAAATATGTGGTTATCAACACCATTGCTCAATGATAGATTCACTGAGCAGATCCTATGCAAAGCTATGCTTTACTTTGTTCTGGGCATATAGCACGTCATAAATTGGTTCACAGGGTTGAAACTTTGCACGCCCTCCTTTTATATGGCTACAAACTCCTCCTGCAAATATCACGCCGATTGAGTGAGTAGTTCAAAAGTTGACATTTCCAAGTTCCATTCCCTCTCAACACGGCAACTCGGATCACTAACTAAAATTTGAATATGGTTCCAATTGAACACTTGTTTAGCATCATCGAAAACCACTCAAATCAGTCAATTTTAGAAACACTCGAAACGCGTAGGAAGCACAGGGACGCTTGTGCAACGGGCGCGAGGCTGGCGGTGCAAGAACGTAAGTGGTAAGATTATCGTCCTCATTTTCACTATGCGCCTGCACAGAAAGCATCAGTGTAGCTTTTGCATCTTTTTCTTTTATTTTACAAAACAGCGTAAAACTTAATTTTGAACATCCTGTATATGCCACTAGCTATTCATATTGATGTAGACCTCTGGCACACCACTTGGAGCACAGCAAAAGGAATTATATGCAATAACGGCAACTCGACGAGACAGGTTCTATGAAAAACTGAGAACAAGGTAAAAATTTGGAGACTCAAAAACAGCAGCATTACTATATAAGCTCCCCAATGGGATGCTACTGCACGGATGATCACGCGACGCAATGCAAATAAATAACATCCGCTGGCGCTACATTTCGACGACATTGCGTCACGATTGACCGAACATTTCGGCGACGTTGCGTCGTGCCGTCTCTCGTAAACCACAGCCGACCACGTGCAAAACAGCTAGCACCAAACGAGTTCTTGGGGAGGTGCTGCCCCAACTGCTCAGTCGCATCGGCGTGTCTGTTCTTCGCTCGGTAACGTTCTCTCTAACGGGCCGCTTCACGTTCACGCACGGCACGACCTCGACGTCGAACGCGTTCCATCCTAACGACCGGGCAAAGATTGTCATCGGCGCTTCCGTGTCGACGACGTTTTCTCTCGCAAGCGCGTTCCCACTGTCGAGCGGCCGCCCCGTTCTTGCACGCAAGGGCTTGGAGTGCCGAGGGAACGGGCGACCGAAGGCGAGAGAGCGGGGCGCGAGAAGCGCCATTGCATGACCCCCGGCGCAATTGCGATTCACCAAATGCACTATGTCTCAACCGCGACTAATATCGGCGAAAGGGCGAGGCTATCGTCACTGTACTCGCCCTCTCTCAGCACTGAAATTGCCCGTGATACACGAGTGCATGCTCCATTCGTTTGCGGCAACACTGCACTCGCTCGGTACAGTTGACGCTGTAAAAAACGAGCTGCACCTTTTCCATGGTGTTTGTCACCACAACGTCGATGTCTCCCCTCATGTGCCACGACAACACAGCTGCCACGTCGTCCTCTTCTACCCAGGCAAGATGACCAATCTGTAAATCACCGTGCAAGGAAAAAAGGGAATGCTAAATGAATGGAGTTCAGCATCTTCAACCGAGCATACAAAATTATCATTCAAATAGAGCAGAAAATTTAATTTATACGCTATTGAATCTTCATAATCCAGTGTCTACTCCAAAGGCACGCTAAAATGAGTGCCAAACGAAAGTTCACAAACTACACCATGTCTAGTAGGTAAACTCAGTACAGTATAATTGTGAGGATCGGCCGCACTCGCGAAAGGAACGCACCCCCAAACCTAAAAAAAAAAAAAATACTCAATAATCTTTTTTTTTAAAATTTATTTATGTATTATTTTTTAATTCCCTAAGGGCATCAGCCCAAAATGAAGAGATAAATGGTGAAAAACATGAGGTGGGCTATCTCCGGGAACGAGACAGCAGAACGTTAAAATTAATGATAAACACAGGGGCACCAGCTACAAACCACGTGACACGGGAACTGATACCGCATATCGCAGACACAGCAAATTCACGTTTCACAACGCAACAAACGCACGAGAATTGGCTACGAACTCGTGTGCTGCGGGAAAGGATACCACAGACTGCGGACGCAACAGATTCCGTGTTTTACGGTGCAATAAACATGCGGAAACCGACTTCAAGCTTCTGTGCCATGAGAACCGATATCGCGTGCGCGGATTGAGGACAAAAAATGCGGGAAGTCGCTGAGAATGTGCGCGTTACGGGAAAAGATATTGGACGCGCAGGTCGCGGACAAAAACGGGGAAATCCGCCGCGAACTCGCTTGTCGCACACACTGGCACTACAGATCGCGCAATTGATGCGACGTCCGACGGGAGTCGAGGAGTGGGTAATGTTTCAGAATCTTTATGTTACGGACATTTAGCCCGAGAAACGGGATGGGCGATCTCTCGGGGGAGGGCACCCTTACGGGATTTCACGGTAGTCACACTCTCCTTTTTCAAAGTGTGCCAACCGCTTCCGCGGCATGCAGACGTTCGGCTCTCCATCTCTACATGCCTCCACCATGTTCGGGAATACGGTGTCGATAAGATCTGCGTACAATGCTGGTTCCAAGCGAGACAAAGAGTCTGGGGCGGGCTAACTGGTACGCTGCAGCCGTTCGACCTCAGCATCAAACGGTCCTTTAGGTAAGGAGTTTCCAAACTCTATTATCGAGAGGAATCCCTAACTGGCCTGACCCAAAGCTGAGGAACTCCTGCTGGTCTTGGAATTCATGCGATAAAGGAGTACAGAAGCCTCGAGACCTTGTTAACTTACAGGCATAAATAAATGACTCAGATCTGCTAAAAAGTGCTTAAACTGTAAAAACACTTTACTTGGTGGCAAATCCGATTGAAAAATTCTAGCAAAAAAAGGTCTGGTAAAAATTCAAAATTCCATCTAAAAAAAAAAGAACAACAGAGAGCTTCACATTTGCACTTAGAAAAAAGGGCTCTCACCTTGCCGAGCACGTCGGGTTCTTCGGGGTAAGCTGCCGGCATGAATGCCCTCTTGTTCTTGTTGTCCAGGGCCTGCCTCTGCACCTCGCACGTCTTGATTGCTGGCCCCACATGTTGTTCCTAGTGGAAGAATCAAGCAGGACAAGTCACTACCAGTTACTGGAAACGCATCCACGATTCGTCTCGTACATCGCGAGACAAGAGGCAAGCCTTCCGTCTTTCAATATGGCCGCCGATCAACTCTTTCAGACTCGGCAGGATCGTGCAAAAACCACTATTATTGTGTGAATTTCAATCATAATATATTAAGTTCCCAGGCAAATTCCACTTGGTATTGACAATTTTCCATTTGTTTGACGGAAGTATTAAATTCCTGTACGATTTCCGCCTTGTAGTGGCCAGTTTGTGCAAAGAGCAAAGATGTAGTTGACGTCACCTGGCAGCAAGGTCGTTGCAATACCAAGCCTGTCGGCAGAAGGCACTCGCACGCAAATGACACTATAGTCAGATGCAAGTTAAGAAGGGGAGGGAGAAAGGGAAGGGGGGGGTTCTCAAACATTTGACAGGCTTACCCCCCCACCCCTCTGGAAACACCTGCATCCGCCTGCCAGCCACTGTTCCCCCACAAAGCATAAATAGTTTGTGTCCGTGACTCTGACACTGCCACGAAAACACTGCACTGACGTCACATGACTCGTTATGGCTACTGCCTACCCTTGTTGGTCCAAGCAGTGATTCCATACTGTGCCTGGTACGTGGCAGCATTTATTTAAAGTATCGTTAAAGGAGAGTCCCGCCTCAGTTTTTCAATGCCACTGTTCTGCCTCAAAGTCGGTTCAACACATTAATAGACACATCTTAATTAGTAACCCAAAGTGCAGGTCACGGAATTTATTTTTTTCCGCGAGGTTAATAAAGTTCTAAATTTGGTCCGAGTGGCTTTACTGGCGACACTGGAAACGTGATGTCAAATGTTGTAATAAGAGGCAATACGGGGGCATTTACAGCTTGTTCTTGATGAGCTACAAGAAGTGTTATGGTATTAAATGAAGATTAATTAAACTCACGCCACAAAACTAAAAAAAAAAAAAAAAGAAGCACGCGCAACGCACTGGTTTTTGGACCGCCAGCTCGACTCGCAGGTGACATCACCCCCCCCGAAGAGCGCAGGAAACGTTTAATGTTAGTTCTGGCATCACCTTTACTTGCCGTTTTCTCAATAGCTACTTTGAACTTGGAGACAACAAATAGCAAGCCAGGAGGAGCAAAGACTGGTCGTTCCGAAAATGTGTTTCGTTTGGGAAGCTTAAAAAACCGCCAGACTCGTATCTGACTAGAGGCTGGCAACTAGGCAGCCATGGCAGCTAGAGACGAACCTACACAGACTGGACCATAGAACAACCTCGCCGAGCGCTCGGCGAATGTGCGACGCCACCGCAACCTCAGCTTAGAAGAGGCACTTCTGCTGTGCACCCGAAGAGCTGCAGCGAGGTTGTCGCACGTGCGGAAAGACCAAGGTTCCCTCGATGCACTGCGGTGGCAGCGGCATAGCCAAGCTGGCCGGTGAGATCGGTCTAGGGTAGAACCAGAACGTACAAATCGAGCACGCAGGTCAAAGCCAAAATGGCAGCCCCTCGGTTCTCTCTGGACGTCTGGGAGTGCTAACCGAGACCGAAAAATTAAGGAACCAGTTGTATGGCGTCGGAAATTTTAGTTGCTGTTATACACTAAGTCAATAAGGTGAGCAACGATCTTGCGAAGGCATCCAGATAAGTGAGTTTGTGTGAAAGTTTGGCCCCTAAAAATCATTCAGCGACAGTTCTCGCCTATCTATTCAGACTGTCTATAAATGTGCCAAGAGGACTAACATCGACGCAGTGACAATCAAAATGTAACACCACGCTTAAAGACCAACGAAATGAGGGTACCTCTCGGATAGAATTGCTGTTGAACCCTATCCTCCTCAGCTCTCCCCTGAACTTTGATTCTTCCGTCTGCGCATCACGTATCACGGCTGGAAAAAGAAATGAGCGGAAGAAGCATTATTGCTGTTCATGCCGGGAGCAATAACTGTACAGAGTATCAAGGCAGACCAGCACACTAGAGACAACTTACCTTCTAACTCGGTGTAAATATTTTTTGTTGTCTGGAAGAGGTCCTCGAATGTCTGCAACTGCTTCAGCAGTTCAGTTCGCTTCTTCGTGAGCTTCGCCATCTCTTCTTGCTTTGATGCATCTGTACAAACAGCAATAAAAAGTCTTTGTAAAGAGCACTCTGCAAGTTATAGTCAATTTTCTATTCACCAAGCTCAAATAGTGACCATATATGCATATTATACAATCATTCTGAACAGCTATACACATATTAATTTATTTACTTATTTATTCATTAGCACCTTGAAGGTTACAAACAAGGTGCTACACATTATCAAAAAAAGGCAGACCTTCACAACAAACTCAGCACTGTAGTTTAGGTATCAATAGAAAAAAAATAATTCAAAGGTGCTGAATATGCACATTCAAAATCACATGCCCCTCAAATACCCACAATGTTCTAATCATAAGCAAATGTTTGAATATACTCCAAATTAGAAGGAGAGGGTCAAAAAAAAAAAAAAGGCACTTCAGATTTTTAGGTTTCAAAACACTCATCTTCAAGATTCAAAATCTTCAAGATTCAAAAGAGCCCACAGCAGCCTTCCATTCAACCATCTACTGGTATGGTAAATGCTTACAAAGCTTGCACACTCCATTACTGAGAAGGCAGGTGAAATGTATGAAACAATGACCCAAGCAACCTTAACCTTCTAAGCCAGCCAGGTTCAGTTCCTACAGTTAAAACTCTATCTAACAAAGCTAAGGGGAGCCACAAATTATTTCGTTAAATCGGGAGCTTCGTCACATTAAAAATGGAATTTTTGCGTCCTTAAATTTGGTACTCCTAGTTTTATTGTGATCGCACCCAGAGAGCTACTGCAATACTCCATTCCCAAAATGCTCACGTGCCGAAAACGCGATTCGTGCGTGTATGAATTTAGTTCATGAAGACGACCTGCACTGCCAGTGTGTGAAGGAAACCCTGGAACTTTCTCTAACGCCACACTCCGTGCCCCTTCATCAGCAAACTGTGAGAGCTAGCCAGGGCTCCCACCGAAGTCCACATGTTCCACCAGAGACGCAAAAAGAGTGCCCTTTTCGATCCAAGCGCAAATGATTTCTGTGTTTTCTTCGAGGGTGCACACTTTTTTTTCTTCTTCGAGTCTTCATTCCGCGGCGATGCAGAAGTCACTGAGACGAGCGCACAACAACAGCGTCTCTTTCCGATGCTTAGCATCCAGCGTGCACTCGTTGCATTCTGTCTATCGTTGGTTGTGAGTGCAAGCTCAAAGATCACAACACACAGGAGTGTCAAGTAGAAAGCTTACGCCGGAGATGCAACGACCGAAAGACCCCTCTGCCGTTCTTGTCTTGGCAACGTCCTGCCATTCGTGTCTGCCGCATCTGCCGTTAGGCCTAATGGGGGGGCGAACCACTACCGATCGTAAAAGAAACGAAACCGAACGACTGGCTACCTTCGTCGGTGACGTGGGACAAGGATGAAACCCCACAAAGCAGCTGGCGCCTTTCATTTTCCCGTAAAAACGAAACTAATCGTCCCCCCCTCTCCAGCATTCGCCCTGCTAAAGTGGAAAGCGGTGTGACCATTGTGCCACCGACAATGGGGTGGCACAATCTTATTGCTGGCATGCCGGCAACGAACTCTGAGGCACTCTAAACAAAAAAAACATTTGAAATTACCCCATTTTCACTTACAGTCACCAACCGATTTTTCGGATGCATTTGATTATTCGGATGTTTTTGCCATTTTGTCATTCACCCCATAGAATTAATGTATAACATTGACCGAAATTTCGGACGCCATAAAGCTTATTGATCGATATTTCAGACATAATTTGCGTGATTTCCTCAGTTTACATTTTGGTTGTCTTGATTTTGCCCTGTTTCCATTTTTGGTTCTCTTAATTTTGCCCTGTAGCCTCGATATTGTGTCCTACGCAATAAACAAGCTGGGTTGAGGCTATAGTCGGGCTTTCCGGTTCCACTATAGCCAACATGGCCGTTTTCTGCCCATTCTTAAGGTCATTCCAGTTGTTCTCCTGGTTTATGTTTTTCAGGTGCGACCACGAGAAGAGTGGCAGTTTGCCGTTTTTGTGGTTTTTGAGTGCGAAGGTTTTTTGCCAATAGGCTTGGTATTGAAGCGAGCTTAGTGGACTAAACGTTGTCTACAAATGTGCCAAATGGCGCTAACTTCAACTTTGGTGTTTGTGCCAAAGAAGACGCCGACAAAGCGCAGCACCGCGATGGAACAGAGAAACAAACAAGTGAAAAGTGAATATAAAGCAGAAGGTGCACGCAAACTTAAATTTAACATAAAGCAAATGGAAAGTGGCCATTACGCAGCGGAATATGCACGGAAATTTGATAATTTGGCCGAAATCGATTTTTCGGACCACTTGATTATTCGGACAATTTCGGGGTCCCTTCCGAGTACGAAAAATCAGCAGTGATGTGATTGGCCTAAGCCATTTTGGAGTACCTTTTGGAGCAGCCAAAACAGTGTTTTGAAACAGCAAAAGTGGCCTTTGGTGCAGCCAAAACAGTGTTTCGGTGCAGAAAAAGCGACTTTTGGGGCAGGTATTCTTAGAAAAATAAATATTTGTTTTAAGTCCTGGACAAACGAAGGGTACTTTGTGTTGTGTTGTGAAGAAACTCGCTGCTTGTGTTTTTACTGCCGAGACATCCCGCAAGTATACAGTGCTGTAAGCATCTTCAAACAAACAGTGTCTTCTCGAACGAAAAATTGGTGTCTTTGTGGTGTTGCCACGACATAGTTGACATTTAGACACTAAAATATGGGCTAGAATTTCGTTCCGGTACTCCCTTAAAAGGTTCACACACTTGCGCTTGACCCCGATTGACTGAGGCGGGATCTGTTTTTAAGCCTTTTGCGACGGCTTACGATTGGCTGCATTGCTGTGCATCCGGTCGTAAGCCGCCCTAAGAGGCTTAAAAGCCAGTCTTATCTCAGTCAGTCGGAGTCAGACTCAAGTGTGTGAACGGGCCTTTAAGGAATGTATACAAAGGGGGTCACCATTGTAGAAGAGGAAGGGCACTTCGTAGTGAGGTAAGGCCGTCTTCACTTGCGACTTGGGGAACGACGGCGTGAACCGCAAGATGTACTGGAAGCCATCTACTCCTTCGGTGTTCTCCTGAATTTGCAGGTTCTGTTGAGAGAAGGGAGCAGAGAACCACTGTCATAACCATAGCATAGAGGCCCTATTGGGCAGGAGATCGAACTATAGGGGGCGCTCTGACCCGTTTGTTTTCCCCACGCTTGGTGTTTACTCAACACAAGGCCTGTGCACATGCCGACAGGCCTTATGGGCATGGTCATGTCATCTTCTACAATAGAGCGCGGGGCGCAGTTTAATAAAAAAAATACTAACAATCGACGAAGCGACGTTAAGTGCCGGATCTATCCCCAGAGAATGCGAGCTTGACCCACTTCGGCTTTTGTGATGAGCTGGGATCGTGCATGCTGCATTGTTCATGCACGCCGAGTGGAAACAAAAGGGCCCCTCCTCCCCTTCGCCGGAGAACACGAACTCCAGCCGAACGCTGACGCCGCGTTCGGTTATGTCGGCCGAACGCTGCGTCATTGTATTTGTTGTCCCCATCCGTGTAGTTGTTAGGTTAACCGCTTGGGGCATCACGGTCTGTCCTCCTCCCCAATAGCTCGTGCCCGGTCGTGGCCATAGACCTTTCCAAAAAGAGCTCTCTGGCCGGTGCCATTTTGTTACTCTCACTACCCCTATCAGCCAGAAGTTTCTGCCACCCTTTTGGGCTGTGGCAACCTGGTCAGCAAGACTCTTTACCTGCATTGTATGCTCGGAGTTCGCTGTCCTTCCTAGGAAGCTTTTTCTTTATTTGCTCTTAAGGGACGCTTACCTTTTAAAGCGATAGCTTTACAGACAACACTTTGCAGAGATTTTTAGCTCGTCGGCTGTCATCGCCGATATGAAAAAACCGTTCTTCTCTCCCCCCCTTAGCACAAGTAGAGGGAAATAGAATCTTCCTATCGGCCGCGCCGCGCGAAGAGAGAAAAGAGGGGGCCCCGCCATCTTACTATACTCGGCGACAACTTTTCTTGGCAATGCAGTGGGAGGTACAGGCCCGCGTCCCTTCTCCCATTTTGAGTGTATGCAGGCTCTCCTCCTCCCCCATTTCGGGGGAGAGGAGAGCCCGCGCACACTCAAAATGGGAGAGGGGACGCGGGCCTCTACCTTCCACTGCATTGCCAAGAAAAGTTGTCGCGGAGTATAGCAATGTGTCGACGAAGGGAGTGTCTCCTTGTCGTCTGCTTCAAACAGTTGTTTTCAAATATACTTGCGTTATACGAAATCTGGCAGTATCTAGTTGCTACGCATAATGTTGGATGGTTTTAGAAACTTTCACCGCGTTCAATTTCACAGTAAGGTGAAATTGAACTCCTTGAACCCAGCTCGAAATGTAAAGCTATTCTGCTAAAATTTGTCGCCTTACAGCCGCCTTCCCCGCAGAGCTTCATCTCGTTTCTCTGCTTGTGTTTCTGTCTCCCCCTCATCTCTCAACTTCAACATTATCCCTTCCCTTTATCGCTCAACATCACGGGGGAAACCTACAAGAAAAACATACACCTACCCCTGCGTTGCCACAGCCGCACTTTTCCTAATGGCACTGGCGTTTTGAGGCTCGCATTTGCCAAGCGAGTGCTCACCCGTCCCGGTTCACGGCGGCCACCACCGTGAGCTGGCACGCACTTGCAGTGCCCCAGCTTACCCAGTTACTTCACGGATCACCGAGCACTCGTGACGGTTGTCAGTGGCCTCCACGACGACAATGGGAATGAACTACGTCGCACCTCCGTCCCCAGGTATGCGACGGCTTTATTTTGCCTGCATTACGCGACCGTGCTACAGCTATAGGTTTTACCTCTTCGCACATCGTGGGTGAAAAATATGAATTCTTTGTTATCTTCCACTGTGAGAACCAGGGAATACCAGGGCTCGGAGCCTGCAAAGACTCCGTGGAAAAAGTATGAAAAGAGCAAATGTCGAATGGCAGGCCGTTCGACGTTCTTTGAGGAATATCTCCGCCGACTTAATCCCTGGAAAGCCATCACGGTTTTCGCAAAAAAATAGCTCATCTGGTGCAGGGTAGGGGACAGTTCAGACACCTTTGCTTCGGTGATGTGCAAAAAAACAAGCTCTCTTCAAAACTTGCTCTAAAACTTGTCCAGATTTCGTCCGATCGTCGTGATGCGACTCGTCAACACTACATTGGATATGCTGTGTTATTTGAGATCTTTCTCAAATTAACCCTGTTTGGATAAGGCGGCACCTTGGGGTACATACAATGTGTTGTTTGATTGATGAGACTCGTATTTTATGTTGTGAGTGGGGAATGCCCATGCCTTTCAGCTATCTTGTGTGGTCCAATATTTTCGACAGTCAAAACCTCTGTAGACTGGCACGGTTGAGTATTTGGCGGCAAGAAACATTTGTGTAAAATGGAACAAACATTGCAGTTGTAATGGTTCTGTCATGCACAGACTCGCTAAAATTAGCTTTTATTTTATTTGTTCCCAGAAATGGTAAAACGCTTCCTCAAAGGCCACGAAAATTTTTTTTCGCCATAATACACACAAAAAACAATAAAACGCCACAATTTAGCCGCTAACAATGACAGGAATTGCACCTATGCAGACTGCCACAGCCCATTGACAAGAAGCTCCACAGCTCAACGCAGTTGGATAACACTAACATACACTCTCAAAAACAAGGATGCGCGATATAAATTGTCTGGTTGGAGAGTGCCACTGGAAAGGTCTATACTGTTGAGTTATTTAGAAAAATGTCAATAAACGTCTGCCAATGCAACATTAGAATATAGGAAACATAAAACAGAACCTGGCTATATGATATTTCCTTCCCCTAAAGGTCATCCTGATGTCACTGTAGTCGCAAGGCTTTTGTCTTTTTCTTACAAACATTTACAAGCAGGCCACAATTCAAAAGTTAGTCTAGCCATCGTGGGTGGAAAACACTTTGTTGGGGCACTAGCCTTGCAGATGAGAGCACACCCTAGCAAGGCTTAACTAGTAACACACGATACACAGACCAACAGTAGAAACATTTATTCTCGGCACGAGATTGCCAAAGTGAAAATATTGTTTCACAGCCATTCTTCAATGCCAGCAGCCCAGCTTTTGTGTAAGAAATATCGCCGTTTTAGCACAAACAAAAGCTATTTTTTCACTTTTACAACAGGCATTACGACCAAATGAAACCAATATGCGTTCCTGTAAACTACCAACAAAGAATACATTTCACTTCATAAACGAAGGTCAAACTCTCGCAAACTCTTGTTCCAACAAAGACATTTGTATACTCCGCGACAACTTTCCTCGGCAATGCAGTGGAAGGTACAGGCCCACGTCCCCTCTCCCATTTTGAGTGTACGCGGGCGGCTCTCCTCCTCTCCCCGGAAATGGGGGAGGAGGAGAGCCTGTGTACACTCAAAATGGGAGAAGGGACGCGGGCCTGTACCTTCCACTGCATTGCCAAGAAAAGTTGTCGCGGAGTATAGCGACGTGCGCCAAGTGCATCGCTTGCACCGTAGACGCAGTTGTGAGACACATGCCGAGCGAGGACCTTACCTGGACAACCGCAGACCCTTTGCAGATAGGCACTTGGTAGGAGTTTACATTCCCTTCAAAGTGAGGAATCTCGGTCACGGCGGGGTCGGGAGAAATGATCTGCAGCGTCAACGTGCCCGTCAGGTTCGCTGCCGTGTTGTTCCCGAACCGATCCTGAACAGAAGAAAGCACAAAGTCGGGCATTTTTACTAAAAACAAAAGGAGCAGGATGTGCAACTCCCAAGAAAAACTGCTCAACACGAAAGTGGCCATTTCTATCTGAGAAGGAGCCTGTAAAAGCTACTGCCCTAGTGAAAGATTGTCCGCTATTCCGAGGTTTCCACGAAATGAACCGCAGTCGAGCAATAAAAGCGAGTCAAACTCGGGACGTACGGTGAGGTCGAGCTTGAGGTACTTCAGTAGGTTTCGAGAAGAGGTCTTGGCCTGGTTCGAAACCGAAGGGATGGTGGGGTCTTGCTGGGGAGCTATCTTGACCGGGGAGTCGGGCTGCACGGTCAGCGAGATCTGAAACACGACACACGTGTGCTCTCTGAACTGTTCTATCAGTAGATCGGCGTGAAGGTTTGTGGCACAACAGGACTGGCAAAAACAAGTACAACCAGAGGGTTATAAACAGTGTTGTACACGTTACTAAAAAAAAAGTAATTGATTACAATTACTATTACTCTTGGCTAAAAAGTATTCAATTAGATTACTTGATTACTTGACAGCAGAAGTAATTGGACATTACTTTAAGAAGTAACCGTTACTTTTCCGATTACTTTACTGTGTGAAGACTTATCTTTAGCGCTCATAACAATGAACTGCTTCCAACCTCGGAACCTTGCTCGTCACAAAGGCCACGTAGGGTAAATACGGGATCTTGACGTGTATTTGAACTGGCTGTTATATTTTGCATCTGCTTTAGACATTCTTCGGTTCTGGTTCTCCTATGGGCTGCAAGTAGGTACTGTAAGCAGGATTGTTTTTGTTTATTTCTGTGTGTGTGCATGAGGGGGCTAGTTTGAACGAAGGACTTACAAAGCTACATTCTGCTCCCTCAAACTTCGCCCTGAATGGCCTTTGTCAAGCACTAAAGCTTCCCTGGGGCTTCACAGGGGCTTTCTGGGGCTTCCCAATCCCAATCCCAGCTCGAAAAAAAGAAAACGTACATCCCACAGAAACTATACATACAGAGGGGTTGACCTCATTTCCTACAGATCCGCAAAAATCTTTTTTTTTTCCCTGTTCGGAAAAAGAAGCAAATTTTTTTTATTGTTGTCATTTCAGAAAAAAAAAAGGTGTGTGCGGGGGGGGGGGGGGGGGGGTTTCCCGTGGAAAAATAGTAACGGTTAGAAGTAATTTTAATTACTTCAAAAAGTAATCAGATTACTCTTTTGATTACTGCCTAATAAAAGTAATCAAATGATTACAAAATTACTCAAAAAAGTAATCGAATACAAGTTATTTGGTTACTTGTAATGCGTAAGGTACAAGTCTGGTTATAAGTTGGCACAAGTGCACACCCAAAAATATACCTATGTAAAAAATAAAATTTTCATTTAAAAAACAACAAAAAAATTGTTCATGGTAATAAAACCCGAGACTCAGGAACACAGAAGCGGAGGAACACAGAAGGGGACGAACACCTGAGTCTCGGGTTTTATTACCATGAATCATCACCAGCTCGCTTGTTTTTTAAGTATTATTTCAAAAAATTGTTGCGGCATTTTTTTGTGTTTACCGGGCATTCAGACTGTGCCGCATGGGTTTCTGAAGAGAGCTGTGCTGCCTTTCTCTGGAGCTATGCTTTCATAGAATTGACCTCGAGTCCTCAAAAAAAGCTAAACCTTTTTGCACAAAGTTTCAAATGATAGATTTATCTTAATTCTATGAATAAGGTTGGTATACACAAAATGTGTTTCTGCGGCATTCTTCAAATTTGCAGTGAACGTTGCAGGTTTTTTTTTTTTTAATCTTTCTTTGGGTATAGCACGTTATATTGTTTTATTTTATGGGATGGTGGACACGTCTCGAATTTCTCGTGTTTACTTATAATCTGTGCGAACGCCCAATGCCGGAGTCCAGCAACTGCTTTCAAACATTTAGTAAAGACCATTGTGGTAGAGACAAAGCCAGCAAGCTTCGAATCCACCCGCTAATAGAACGTCGAGCTCCCAATTGTGGGCTCAATTCCCACGGGGGTGCATTTACAGTTTTGTTTCTTCTTCTCAATTTACCGCAGTTTTGTACAGACCATCCTTTGAAGCATGTGCCACACATATCGTATTGGTTACCTCGGAGTTTCATCGCACTCCCCTCCGGGATCCCAGCACTCAAATGCACTTTGCATTACGAGATCGAACACATGTACTTTTCAAATACCGCAGAGCCACACCAACATATTCTCGGGCGATACGGTTCACAGGCCTTCACATTCGCCAACACCGGTCCCATTGAATTCCCATAGGAACACGTGTATCAATTTCCCGCTTGTTGCGTTTGACTTTACGCCCATGAACCGCTGCCCGACGCGGCCGACTGGACGCATTGGACCACCGGATCGAGGCCTCCCTCTTCCCCTTTTTTTCCCGTTTTTCGTCCCTCTTGCCCTTAGACTAGGCTCGAAAAGGATTCGAGCTTATGCAATAGCCCGGACATTGTCCCACCTCTTTCTTTGAGGCGCATGCACGTGCTTCCATGTGCTCAAGCGAGCTAATTTGGAGTGTGTAATTATTTGTTGTAATTATGTCGTTAAGAAACGAGCCCTGGAGAATTTGGTTTTCCCGGGTTTTTTTTTTTTCGTTCCCGCGCTCCGCCCACGAATCGTCGTTGGCGCATAAGGAAGCACGCTTGTTGTACGTGCAGGCGGAAGCACGCTAGAATCTCGTTCATTTGAGCCCGAGGGGGACCAAAACTTTATATGAGGGGGGACACTACCCAGAAAAAAATATTTCTGCAAAAAAGGTTGACTTTGAAAAATGACATATTTACATCCACCAACATCTAGAGTATTCCCAGAAATTTTCACTAGTTTACACTGCACAGATAATTTTTTATAAATTAGTTTCTGTCCACCGAAGCTAAAGGAAGGGTAGGGTTTGGAGCGCTTTGAACGCCTTTTCCTCCGTTCCACTTTTTGGTATAAATTCCATTTTAGTCAATCTATCGTTTGATAATGACAGTACAGGGAAGGCTCATTCTTCACTTTTCCTGAGTGAAATTTAATAAGAAATGCGGCTATGGAATTTTTTTGTCACTTTCCAGATGTCTTTTATAAAAAAATGTTGACTTTTTGTCGAAGACACAGAAGACCAAAAAGTTGACCAATTCTGCAGAAGAGAAAATTGATAGAAATAAATTACTTTTACAAAAAAATTGTCCATAGCCGCACCTCCTCGGCATTCTGCTAGATATCTAGCGAATAAAAATCTTGAATATTGTGATAGTTTTCCGACGATAGATTAACTAAACAATGTAGGCGTGTTGCTGATAGAAGCTGCTCCGATTTCCTTCCCACCTAAACGACAGATGTGAAAGTTTGTTACGCACCTTCAAGCATGACCACCAATCTACCCTGTAAATTTCATTAATTTTAAGCCAAGGGTTTAAAAGTTGACCCTCCCAGGGGGTGTTTCCCCTTAAATAATGCAAAAGTTGAATTACCGGGAGTTTCCTTCCTAGAAACACATAGGACGAGACCTGAATGTTAATTTGAACTATCCGCGAGTTTGAATTAACGAGATTCGACATACAACCCACGTTTCTCTTTGCAGAACTGCAGCTTAAGCGGTACACCATTCCATTGAGTTCTATAAGAGCTAGCGGTAGTCAGAAAAAGCCGCATTACATTTGGTCTTATACTATAAGCAGTTGCGTTATAAGTCATCTCTACTAAATTTGAAGCCTTCCTTAGAGATCAGGTGGGTACTTTGTTGGGAACGTATTCGAAGACACTTCCAGAAACAACCCTTGGCATCCAGCACGAGCCAGCCAGACCGTACCACTCACATTCAGATGTTTTGTTTCTCGGCGCATGCACACCAAGATCGTTCAACATTGTTCCGGGAACTTACGACAGAGCTGCTGATCATGTGCTTCCCATTGTTGAAGTGGAACTGGAGGTTGTACTCCCCAGCTGCCTCGGGAACTTTCACTTTCCTGACGTCGAGAGGATGAAATCAGAAAAACCAATAAAGGACATAACAATCTTCGAAAGCATCCCTAGGGTAGCTCCAGACACGCATCAATACAAAACCAAAGCATCACATCTCATAAAGAAAAAAGCATAGCCAAGCACCCATGCATCGCTAGAAGCAAACATTAACAAACAGAAAAAGCAACCCACCTGAAATGATAAATCCCGCCAGAGGATGTTGACTCGGCTGGATTGGCAGTGAACGTCTGCCGTAAAAACGAGAAACAAAAGAATGGTACACTGCTCAATACGACTTGCAGAAACGAGAGAATAAAAGGTAACGCATTTCATACAATAATTATGATACGAAGAGAGTAAAAGAGGTCTACGGGCTTAGGCATCACAAAAAGACTGTCATGCAAAGAGAAATAACCACCCTGGTCCTACATATAGGGTCCAAATTATGCAGAATTCCAACTGAGGGGGCTATTAGAGGACAATGTATGACATCCCTCCACTACATTTCTTGAAGAGTGGTCGCATGACCTCGTCACGTGACACAAACTCTGTGATTGTGTCATGCGACGTCGCCATTATGTCACCTGACCACACATCATGCAACCACACTATGTGACACCATGCCACATGGCGTGGTTAAGTGGCCACATAACCCATAGTGCCAAAACACTTTCAGCATTTCCACTCTGGTGAAGAAGGAAGAGCAGCGGAGCTGTAGCTTCTGTTCTCGGCGGTGGCTTTCCAGGCGAGCCATCTGCTCTTCTTTCGCAAGGGAACCTGAAGCGCTTGGCGTAGTGGAACTTTAGGCAATAGCGGCCTCGCAGCGGTTGCAGAACCATGCGTGCTGCTGCGCACATTGCCGCTCGTTCCGCTCTTCTTCCTCCGAAGAAAGGTTGCTGCCACCTATGAGCGACGGCGACAAGCAATTGTCTGCATTCTGCCGTCGCTCATAGATGGCGGTAGCTGTCCAGGGTTCGTTATCACAATTGCTTTGCTGGTGGACACGATCTTGGGGAACCTAGCCCTTAACAGCTCCGCTGTAAAAACCACATGATCATCACACTCCCGTGTTCTCATACTTACGTTACAACTCTTCATGACACTCTAGACCTGAAAACCAACACACAAAATCATTCTGCTTTAAGGGGGACGCGGGCTTTGAAAACCGGAAAATCTCGAAAAAGTCGATTTTTAGAAAACCTTATTTTTCGGTTGTATATCTCATAAACTACCTTCTCTGTAATTATCAGCACCAAATATAACGGGGAAATATTTAAAAACAATTATTTACGAGGCCTGAATAGCATCCAAGTGACGGTCAAACGTCAAAATCAACCCCAACTTCGCGCGCTCGCCATTTTCGACGCGTTGGGCCGACGGCCGCCATCTTAGTCTTGTTTTGAACGTGAATTCTTTCTCTTTTTTTTTGCCACCTCCCAAAATGGCGTCGGCCGCGTGGTTACGGCGTGGTCGCCGTTCTTCCATGTCGCAATCGCAAGAACGCGATTGGACAGAGCGCGCGCTCGAGGAGCGTGCGGGGGAGCGCGCGACTGCTATTGGCTGGGACGCGATTTCTCCGCGCGCGGAGCGCTCTCCTCCTCCGTTTCTCCTGCTGTTGCCGCTTCCGTCGTCTGCTTTTGATAGTGGTCTGCTTGCACGCGCTCTTGCTTTGTCAGCTCCACTTCGTTTTTCGCCATCTTTACGATCGTTTTCCGAACTTTCTTTGAGTAGTTTCGTGTAGCGTGCCCGTCTGTTTCGTGGTCGCACACGATGCGGGGTTCAAAGTACAAGACGGTGCACGCGTTTGGCGCGCGGAAGCGGTCCATGAAGTTAGTGCGGATGGCGAAGTTGGAAGTTTCTGCACGGCGTGCCGTCAATGATGATCGCGTCAACACTTCCAGTGATGGATTTTCTGTGCCATCGGCTGTCGTCGAGGAAGAACGCATCGCCCTGCTCACGCCTGGAGTACCGAGCATGCCGACCGTTGTGGTTCCTCCCGAGATCGCGGGTCCCAGCGCCCGTCTTCCGCCTGCCGCGACAAGTAGGAGCGCGTCTTCTAGCACCCATCTGCGGACGCATTTCCTGACACGTGAGGAGATCGAAGCAGAAGCTAGACATTGTGATATTGCTCAAGCCGAACTTGGAGCTATGCCAGCAAACTGCACTGCATGAAGCGGTGTTGAGGTTCAACGCCGGCTGCTACAAGGCAACTGCAGAAATATCGGTTGCAGTGGGACTTCAGCCGACCCATCTAGCCCTCCAACGAGCTGCCGAGAAAGATGCCCTACGTCTGCACAAGGCCAGCAAACGACATCAAGAGAATTTGGAAAGGCGGAACAAAAAGAAAGTGCGCAAGAACACTTCTGACTATTCTGCCAGGGTCATTCTAAAGCTGAAAATCTGCGTGCAACTTTCAAGTGCTGTTTTCTCAGAATGGATTTTTTCACTGTCGTGGCTGCTCGTCCCAGCGATATCTCAGGAACTGATGAATGGACTTTTGTGCTGTCTTTTTTATTCTGTTCTCTAATAACTTTGTGAGGGCATAACAGAGCCCTTTTTTTAAAAAACTGTACTAAAAATTTATAATAAAAAAATGAAATTTGGTGAATGTGGGTTTCATTGACTACACAAAATTCAAAGTTGCGTTAAAATTTTTCCACAAAGGAATTTAAAAAAAGGGCTCTGTTATGCCCTGGGGAATGTATCCAGGGGTCATCATAACAAATTTTACGCCGCTACTACCTTTTTCAAATTCTCCAGACCTGGGATAAGGAATGCATATGGACGATTTTGATAAATACTTGTAACTTGATAAATAATATGCACAGCTCCATGAAACTTTGCAGTTACTCTTATGTCTGTGCTATAAACACATTCTGTAAATTTCGTTCAGATATCTCTAGAAATAAGAAATTTCATATTTATTCCCCACCTCCTCCCTTAAGAGAACAAATAAAACAAATGAATATGAGAACGAGCCCATAAATTGATTTGAATTCGTTGATCTGCCTTTTCCTTTTAGCTGTTTCTAGGGTAATGAAACTGAGAAGTACCGTATTTGTATGAATATAATGCAAGTTTCGTGCTCCAAAACGCACCTCGCATCATATTCGGAATCGAGTTCAGCCACGAGGCGTGCAAGTCTGGAGAAAGCCAGAGGAGAAAGCTATCCTTCCAGCTGAAGCCAGGAGATCGGGTGGGAAAAGAAGTGGGGGTGTGGGAGAAAATTTATTGGCTATTAGGCCACACGAAGGGGCAAATAGAAAACAAAAAAAAGCATTTTTATCCCTTTTGTATTTGTACAATGCGCAAACACCACAGAAACGCAGTGCGCAGAAACGCAGCGCGCCATGTGGGAATGTGGGCACAGGCCAAGCCAAGCCAAGCCAAGCCAACACAAGCCAAGCTAAGACCACTGACCATGTTTACGCAATCGTGCAACACGAGGTGATTGTTTATGCAGTGGGACCAGAACAAGACTAAGTGCAATCATGTATGGGGTTCCGCAGTCTTTTTTCTGCCTGCGCATCTTTTAATTTCTGCTCCAGAGTGGTCTGGTGTTTGTGCGTCGGTGCTTTTGCCTCATGCCTTGCTTTGTTTTGGGCTGCCGAGGAGCTCACACCAAAGAAAAAGGGGACTACCAGACAAGCAGCGCCCTGATGCTGCTTATGTGCGTAGTCACCAAGTGGACTGGAAACAGAAGGACCTGAGCAGTAAGGGTGAGTGCAGTCAAAACATAAACTGATATTTCTTCCAATTTCCATTGCCTTTTCACTTCTGCTATGCCCCTGAGTGCCAGAAATGTATGCAGCCTCAACTTGATTTATATTAGTAATACCATTTTTTTTTTTTTGAGGGCATCGAAATTTTCCTTTGCGTTATATTCGTGGAAATACACTTGTTAGCTAAAGCGAGCACAACCCACCTTTTGATTCTTGGGCGAGCAATCGATGCGCAGCAGCTTCATGCTCAGCTCCTTCCCTCTAAGCGAGCACATGATGTTCCCGTCCTCAGCAAGCACGTGAACTGCAATTTCTGCGCAGCCACAAACGAAATATGGTTGTTAGGATCCACCTTCCCATGGTTCCTTGAACTGCAAAACTCATCGAGTTCCCCAGAAACCAGCCCCGTTCACCCAAGGGTGTGCACGCCGCTTGCACCCCTGCTAGCGCTGCAAATGCACGAATAACAGCCCTCTTCACTAGGCTGCACAAAACACTCGGTTGCAATCAAACACAACTACAGTCAAACCTGTTTATAACCCTTTTGGGTGCGCATATTAGTTCAAAATATCAAACATAGACCGAATATTCTAGAATGAGTCACTACAATCTCAAGAGCGACAGCCCGGTAGACGAAGATGCAGTCACCAACAGATTTGACAGCGAAGCTGTTTATGGCTAGGGTTCCATTAATTTTTTGTGTGCAATGACTAAAAACTCTACGCTTGCATGTGCATGCCTTACCCATATGCACACACACGCCTTCCCTTTGCGAGCACCTATGGAGGCCCATTCTTGTTTTTTGTGCTTCCTAAATGTATAGACTTCTTTCTCCAGTAAGTCGAAAAGCACAATGCTTCTTGTCATTGTTTTAATTTTTCCAACTAAGTCCCTTGACGTATCAGAAAGCCGTCCTGCGAACGAAAATTTTGTACTGTGGCGAGGTGCTTCAAGCCTTACAAGCTGTGTATAGCACAAACAGATATATGACCCCGATCTGGTTACACGAAGAGTTTGTTCCGTTTTCTCCGCCCTTTGTGCCCTGGCTTTAGACATCGGATAATGGAACATCCGCTGCACCGCTAACGATCAGACTAAGGAATGTCATCATTACAAAATGCCATCATTACAAAATTAAGAAAATACAATATGTAGCGAAGCACGAGTGTTCTCAATCAAAATATATTTACCCGCGGCACTTTAACACAAAAATAAGCAGTATAATATTTGCAGCGAAGCCGACCTGCGGAAACTGCGTTTGGCCATTCTGAGAGTGTGGGTGCGATTTCGATCACTTCTAGAAAAGATACAACAAAAAAGGGGGAAATCGCATCAAGCCAATTGAAAGTAAACATGATCGGCAGTAAAAATAAAAAAGTCGAACAAGATTAAAAGATTTTTTTAATAAAGCGGATTTAAAATATTGGTAAATCTCATTTGTGACGATATTTCAGATTTAATATAAAATATTCCGTGAAAATAAAATGAACTAAACTTATGCTCATCAATAGCCCAGGTATAGGACTACACCCGCATAGTGTTTGGTAAGCCACATAAGTAATAACTCACGAGATAGAAGGCTCTGAATATGCCACTGGATTATCCAAGAGACAATGTTTGGCATTTTGCACCTCAGTAAAAAAACATAGTAAAGTATTTTCCTTTGAACTAAAAATAGTCGGCATGATATACAAGCACACAAAAGATTACTGTCAGTTTGTATGCTTTCCATGTTCATACCAGCGTAGAGAACTGGGTAGAAAAATCCCGAAGTAAAAAACAAACTTTCACTGTGCTCCACTTTAATATCTTCTTGTGACGCAAAACATTTTTTAAAAAATTTTGAAAAGCGGTTTTGTTTTTTACAGACATGGGGCATGTACATATATTTTTTTTAAATCCAAAGACCTACCCTGACAGGCGTGTTCGATTTCAAATGAAACCACTCAATAGGTTGCTCGTTTTAGAAGTACTTCTTACGTGCATTTTCGTTATTTAGCCGTCAGATGTAGACTGTAACTCGCCGCATCCATTACAAACGTTTGCGGCCGTATTTAGATCTTTGTGTCATATAAAGATTGGTGGTTCCTGGATTGCGTCTCCCAGCGGTCCGTTTACCGTGTCCTAATAAATGGTTTCTCCATTTCCGCCCGACGACATCGTCAAAGTGGTGGGTGTGGCAGACGACCATTTCGCTGCAGGTCAGCTCGACAGTCCACCGAAGCTTCGGCAGCAAAGAACTGGGGCACCGCCACGACGACGACACTCGCGTACGCTCATACTTTTTGCCGATTGCCAGGATCGCGACGCCCGACGGCACGACATTCTGGCTCTTTGCGACGTCGTCCGTGACCTCTTCGGGACCACTTTTGATGCACGGGTGTGAGAGGATGCTAAACGCGCCGGTCAAACCTGCGTTCCAGGCACTAATTCCGACTAAGTACGTAGCGGGCCATGCTAATCCTAAGCGACAGTCTCGGTGAGGTTCCGCACCTGGCAGCTCCTCGGCGACGGTGAAGGTCTTCTTGCCCTTGAAGTCGACGTTCAGTTCCACGGGCTTCTCGGGGTCGCAGGTCAGGTGGAGCCGGAGCACGGGGCCGTTGATGAAGCTCCGCCCAATGGCCGCCTTGGTGCCCAGCGTGAAGCGGCCCCGGCAGTTCGTCGAACAGATGTTGAACTCGCACGGCTTCGGAGTGACCCTGTCGACAGATTGACAATGACCCACTGGAGTTTGCGCTCTTCGAACGAGTACGGCGCCACGGTCGCTCGTTTACGGGAGTGTCCTCGCTCCGGTGCTTGAACACGGTACAGCAGCGCGTAACGGGAAAGCGCACCTTTTCGAGGCAGGTACGTATGAAATTGGCGAAATTATTGACTTAGCCTCGGATGTCTAAGACACAATAGGATATCCCCAGACATTAAAAATGCTTCACAGAGCGTTGACGCAGCCTTTGGGTAGCACATTAGACAAGTGAAAGCATCTCGAAAACTCGTCCCAGGTTCACGTGTCACACCCCGTTTCGAAGAGAAAAAAGTCCCTTCTCGAACATTGTATTAGGTCAAAAGTATGAAAGGCTTTCGTCCAACAATGTGACAGATGCACGCCGAGCTAGCACGCCGCTTGTACGAGCCCCCGGACGCTCTTGAACCATATGCAGCGGCTTTTCGTGTCGAAGTCTCCAACGCCACGGTTGAAATAAAATGGAATTGATGAAGTATTCCTGGCACTGCGGCCAAACAAAGCTGAAGCGCGACCTCGTCGTTTCCTCCCACCCCTCTCTTTTTGTAATTATTCTTTTCCGAAAGACGCCCAAACGCCAAAACACAGCTGGACAGAAAGCTGCAATCCACCTGCCGGCTGGCTAGCTCTGAGGAAGTTTGCAGCTTTCGAAAGGATTTTTTGAAGCCAAACACTAAGGCAATCAGTCCGTAAGGGCTGGTCCACACACTCGCGTTTGGTTGCAACCGAGTGCTTCTCACGGATGGTGTCCACATTTGATCTCGAGAATACTGCGAAAATTTCGCTGCAGTGAAACGTGGCTCCAGGACCACCCCATGGATGGCACTATCTCGTCGCGAGAGAGCATGAGGCTGCTTAGCAAACTCGGTTTCAACTAGATGCACTGGGAAAACATGTCGCGCTTTAATGCGACCGCCTTTCAGAAGGATCTGACAACCGGGGATCCTGTGGCGGGTCAGACTTGCGGCGGTGTGATGAGCCCACTCACCGTGACTTGGTGGAGAGGGTCAGGACGCCGAAAGAAGCCCTCCCCTTGCTGTCGGTCTTCACCGGCGGCTGCGGGGGTGTCGCCTGCATAGCCAGACGCGCTTCCTCAGCGACGACGACTTCCGTCGTCGAGACGTGCAACGACCGAGCCCTTTTCCAAAATGGCCCCGATCTACGTACGCCAATTAATATGGACGGTTGAAAACAAACAGACGCCAAATGTCTAGTCCGTGGGTTCGCAGAAAGGGTTCCTTGGAGTTCCCTTACGGGCTCCTTGAGTTCCCCGCTGTTCTTAGCCGTCCCTGCCCCCGAGAAAAGTGTTTTTCCAGTTTACCGTAAAGTCTCGTAAGGGTGCCCTCCCCCGGAAGGTCACCCATCTCATTTTTCTGGCCAAATATCCGCAACATAAAAGCTCCGAAACGTCGCCCACTCTACGACTTTTGTTGAACATTGCGTGCGTCCGACGGGAATCGCATCAACTGCGATGTCCGAGATGTCGGTACATGTGACAAGCGAGTTCACAGCGGATTCCCCAAGCTCTTCTGCGATCTGCACGTGCCATATCGATTCCCGTGGCACGCAAGTTTGTAGCCGGTTTGCGCATGTTTGTCGCAACATGAAACACGAATCTGCTGCATCCGCAGTCTCTTGTATCCTTTCACGCGACACAGGGGTTCGTAGCGAATTTCTGTGTATCAGTTCCTGCTCGTATCAGTTCCCATGTCACGTGGCTTTAGGGGGTGCCCCCGTGTTTATCATTAGTTTTTGATTAAAGTTTTGCTGCCTCACTCCCAAAAATAACTCACCTCGTGTTTTTCACCATTTACCTCTTCATTTTGGGTGGGCACCCTACGGGATATTACGGTAAGCAATATTTTGGCAATCCCAAGCTAGGAATTGATGCAGAACTATGATCTACATAATCCATAGTATGCACATTGTTGCTTACACGGTGCATAGGTTTTTTACTACTTTATTACATCAATGCCGAGACCGGGAGCGGTTCCATGGCTGTTATAATCAATAACATATTAAATACTGTTCAGTATTTATTAGTACCCTACTTTTAGTCGATTTTCTCATTTATATTTCATTCATTTATTTTTACTTTATAATCTTATATTTTTCATTGATTACTTACTTCATTTCTTATTTATTTGTTTTATTTCTTCATTTCATACACTTTTTTATTTTAATTTTTACTCAACCGTTATTGTTTAATTTATTTTTCATTTTCATTCAAAACCTGCCACTGTAGCTGGTGCTTTTGCATTAAAATAAAAATATAGGTCCGTCCATACCAACAGCACTAGTAGCTTAGTGTCTATAGCATCCATCGCACCGCAACAGGTTCGAGTTTCGCTGGGGCCCCAAACCTAATATATAAATGTTTATATATACCGTAAAATCTCTCAATACAGTAAAACCTCGTTATAACAAAATGGGATATAACAAACTAATGGATATAACAAAGCAATCATAATTCCCCTTGCTTGCTATAGTAGGAAGAAATGGACATTGGCTATAACAAACTAATGGTTATAACAAAATAATTATGACCGCTCCTTCAACTTAATTTGTTATAACGAGGTTTTACTGTATTCAGAAATTATCCAATCGAAATAGGAAGGGGGCCCTTACCCTGTTCTGAAAAGACATTCAAGATGGCAGCCACAAAAATATAAAATTTTCATAAAATGGGAGGAGGAACTTACACGAGGGGGGGGGGGGGGGGGGGGGAAATCGCATGCTCGGCCTTTTACGGTAATCTATAATCTAATGTTTGTAATGCTCCCAGTGCGTCACTCGTTTACGACGCTCTTTGCGACGTTCATCACTATTTTCTCATAAAAAGTGCTGCATGAAACACATTCTGCGTTAAAATCACCCTCGCCTGTTTGTACGTGCCACTCCAGACGTCCATGGTATGCGTGCTTGGCACATTAAGATTCCCAGTGTCAGTAATTCGTTAGAAGCTGCAGGAAAATGCCTTCGAGCCTCCCGGCGTCAATGTGCTATGGTCCAGTAGTGGGGGCATCGGTGGCCAAGTGCACCAATGCGGCGCAGCTCGGACCGTGCAAAGCAAAAGCTCACGCTGCAGAACCCAAGGACCCTGCGCTCGATTGCCACCCCCCCCCCCCCCCCCCCCCGACTGCTTCGATCTGAACGAGTATCATACCAACGCGCGATCGTGCATCGCCACCGCGCTATGCGCATTAAGATTCCAGGCTAACGGTTGCACTGCGCCGGCTAAATTTCCTGTCCACAACCGAGACACCGGATGCCCATTGGGGCTGACTAACTTCCGGCCATCTAAACGTCCAACGCAACTTTCGGTTCACTAATGCGACGAAAGTGCATAACACCAAGGTGCAAGTGCGGGCAGGTGAAATCCCCTGGGAACGTCGGGGACATCGACGTGCCCCAGTGACGGTCCACGTCCCAACAGACAGTGGCCGTTCCCGTGGCAAGAAAGACCCGTTGGGGAAGGAGCAGCCTGTTACCTTCATGGCTTCGTCGATCCCCAGGTGAACTTTGACGTTGGGCTCGTTCGTAGGGTTGCCCCTGGCATCCTGGAGCTGCACGACCAACGGCCTTGGGAGCTTGCCGTCCGGGCTCACCGTGACCGGCTGCAATCGTGCGGAAATTTGTTCCACCTGCCTACCAGTCTTCCACGCGGTGGTACAACAACGGGCACCTCAAAACACCCCGATTTGCAGACTTAGAAAATGAAAAGATATAGGAAGGTTCCACCACTGCTGCATGGCATCGTGGCAAAAGTAGACACGCGGCTCACGAAGCCTTTCGCTGTTTTATTTTACTTTCCACCTTGGTTTGCTGCACCCACATTTTACGCACCTCAGAAAGAAAACAGAAAGAAAACAGAAAGAAAAGCACAGCAAAGCGGATTCATCATGGAAGCCGCCGTGAAGCCGCAAAAGTTTGCCGCGCCTGCGCAGTGTGATGTCACCGCCGGAGCACCGTGTGAAAGAAGATGTGCCACACTGCTTGTAGGAATGCGCTGCGTGTAGCAATGTGAAAGCATTCCTACACGTAAGCAGTCCTCTGTTGTATTTGTTTCAAGGTAAATCGTAATGACAACATGTAACAAATTTTGTAAATGTCAGATCATGTTAACATTGATTTCTGTATGATACAAGGTTCTTCGTGCACTAATGAAGCGGCATTTTTCGAGGTGTGCTGCATAGGAGGGGGGGGGGGGGGGGGGTATTTTTGTGCGTGGACTATGCACCGGGTGCGGACTATATAAGAAGTAGACTTTTTTTCGGCCGAATTTCGCTTCAACAATCTATACACTGGGTGCGGACCATAGGGTGCTTGCATGAGACCACGATGCAATGCCGCTTCCTGCTTCAAATCTCTACCGCAATCCATGTTGGTGGCATTTGTCTGTTTTCATCCCACGTACGCCATGTCTTTCTCTGCATGGAAGCCATGTTTTCCAGGTCACTCGAGTTCCTTTGCGTCGTAATCGACTGCACCGGCCAAAGTGGTTGGGAGCATATGAGATATTTGGCCGGTACTCCATCTTTATACGCACTGGGCTTTATTCAGACCAGACAAACAGGTGCCAGAGAAGACGGCTCGTCGGCGATCAAAATGACTCCGACAGTCACCACCGGACGGTTTCGAAGAGGGGAAAAAAAGACGAAGTAAACACGAGTTTAAGCGTCCCAAATAGGTATGTCCCTGATTGTACTTCTTGAAATCCGTCGTCGACCGAGCCTTCGGCTTGCTTCTGTGTCTTACTACAGTCGAACCCGGATATATTGAATTCAAAGGGGATCGTAAAAGAGTTCGATATATCGATAATTTGATATACAAAAATATGGTGACTTAAGCTCTAGTTGAAATTTCTGCGTGTCTCTGCTAATACCGAAGGCCGCGACGAACGGGACCTTACCAAAGAGAGCCTCTAAGAGCCGCTAAATACAGGAGAGCTTAGCTGGTGAAGATCGCAAACACCGCTGCGTTTATGGGACGATGTTTGCGATCATTTATGCGTGCGCGACATCCACACAGCACCAACGACAAAACACAGAAATAATTTAGAAAAACAAAAGAACGGAAAAAGTGAGCCGCATATAAACACACTCTTGATCCATAGAACAAAGTTAATTAAGCAACAAAAAAAAACCTCACTAAATTCAGTCAGAAAAAAAAAAAAGGCAAAAAAAGAAAAAACTGGCAAAGCAACGATGGCAAAAGGAAAGGGTGAACAAAGATAAAGCGTTCAAAGTGTGATTGCTCAACTGCTGTTGTGGACACACTCAACTTGAAGACTTTTTTTTGCTTATTTTATTTTGGGGCTAAAGGGTCACACAGCGACTGCAGTGCTCGGGGAAAGAGCGCACGCTACCATTCCAAATGGGGGCACTCCCTGCCCTTTCTCCCTTCCTTTTGCTTTTAGCATCCTCCACTTTTTTTTTTTCTTTCTTACAACTGCTTTTTTGCTGTGTGTCCCTGTGCACGGATGCTGGCTTGGCAGTCTGCCAGCCCCGTACACAAGCTATGTGCTCGCAGCCGCGCAATCCGACCGCGGCTTGAATGTCCCGAGCGTCCTCGCCATTAGTGTGTGATACAGAAAAAAAACGCTCTTATACTAGGTATTACATGTGATTTTCAAGGGGATGTTTGGACTGCTCAATACAGTAAAACCTCGTTATAACAAAATGGGATATAACAAACTAATGGATATAACAAAGCAATCCTAATTCCCCTTGCTTGCTAATAGTAGGAGAAATGGACATTGGCTATAACAAACTAGTGGTTATAACGAAATAGTTACGACCGCTCCTTCAACTTTGTTATAACGAGGTTTTACTGTATAAACAATAATTCGAAATACCCGGGCGCGATATGACCAGGCTCGACTGTAACAGCAAAGACGACGCTAACAAAGAATCGCTTACGCGCGTGCGAATGGGGAAAACAGCAAATGGTCTCATTGACAGGGCCAGATGGCTCGTAAATGTTGTATTTCGTGGTTTTTCGACACTCTGCTCAGTAGCAGGCGACTCGGTTAACGACAGAACTTGTTAAGTACAATTGGGGACGTATTTGGGAAGTTTAAACACAAGCTTACTCCATAGTTTCCCTTTTCTAAACCACCCGACGGCGTCTGCCGCGGCCATTATGCCCACTGATGAGCCGAGTTCAAGCCAGTCGGTGCTCCCTTATATCCCCGACTATTAAGCCTGAGGCCGTCGCAGTCAACCACCCGAAAGAACTCGACCGATCTGGAAAACACTGGTTCCACGTATCGAAAGGCACAGCAGACGTAGGACGAAAGCGGACGGACGTCACCATCGTGGACTTCGGCGGAGATTTAGAGTCGGAAGCAGCGTTGCATAGCAGTCTCGTGCAAGCGCCCCACAGTCCAGAAAAAACGACAAGACAAAAGGGTCGGCCACGAGGGGGAGAAAAGGAGGGCACCTCGCTGGGGTTGTAGTCCACGTAGGCGAGGGTGGCTGGGACCCCGGGGACCAGGTGGAGCCGGAGGTAGTCCTTGAGGCCCTTCCACTGGAAGCACACCTCCTTACTGCCCAGCTTGGTGTCCATGAACTTGAGGCCCGTCACGTGGAAGCCGCAACTCTGTACCGGAGAAGGGGAGGGATGAGGGACGAGTCAGTGCGACACCTCACTGCCTGCAATGCGAGAGCGGCATTGCGCGAGAAACCACGCTCGAGGGACGGGCAAAGACGCCTCCGTAACCAGCACGAGCGTCGGCTCGGAAAAATATTATGGCGTTCCTTCGATCTGCTGTCGAGTCGAAGTCGGTTATAACGAAATAGCGGCTACAGCAAAGCGATCACGATCGCAAAGCAATATACACGGAGCTTGGCTCCGCAAGTATTGCTTGCCTACAGTGCGCAGGTGCTCGGTTTAGAAGTGCAGTCAATGGGGCAAACCCACCACGATTACGCCAGAGAATGTGTTGGGGAGCATTGTCTTGACAACCCGCAGTCCTCAGTAATGATTGTTTTGTTGTTTATTTTGTCAAATTTGAAATTGACGAAACAATGAAGCATTAGCATAGCTGCGACAATCTTGTCGTGCCCATATGCCACAGTTCATAAATATAGCTATATTAAAATTAACTGAGCTTAGAAGTGGACAAGAGGAAGGCTGCGAATAACCTTCATGAATTCAGCTGAACTTTCGCATAAGCATGGTGCACGGTAGTGAAAAGTTTGATGATACCATTCAATATTTGATTTAGAAATATTCGGCCGAAATCACTATTCGCTTCGAATATGCTTCAAGCTGAAAATCCACTATTCACACATGGCTACTTTTTAGCATATACCTTTATGTTGGGCTTCTGTCGTTTTCATTATCCACTTGGCCCAATTCTCAGCCTTGTTACAGTTTACAAGCTTGCAAACTGTGCTAGAAACACTGCACCTAGCAGGGAACGTTATTCCCGTATTAGAGATGCATCAACACATGACATAGGGCCTCGTGATGTCCTCAAACACAAAAAGGAAGGGCCATCTGCTTTACCGCTGCCAGTTCTCATTTCACACACTTTTTAAGAATAAAGATACTGGCAAATATAGCCTCATAAAAGGCCTCGAGCCAAGTGCTAAATGAACTGGACTTCAACCCAACTAATGTAAAGGCCGCAATGCTAAGTTTAGTAGCACTCAAACACTCTTTAGTTATGAAAATGAAAGGGCTACCTGACCTGGGGCAAAATCTGAAAGCCAAAGGAAAAGACAAAGCCTTGACATTGGGCCAGAGGACATAGGTACAAGAGCCAAAAATACGATCAGAGACGAGCATAAAGGACGATAATCAATGCGTGCTCATTACCTGGTCCAGAGATTTGACCACGTCGCCGTAGTCGAGTCCGTCAGATATGATGAGCAGCTCGGCAAGGTCTTTCAGGAGCAGCTGTGTCAAGATGAGAAAGGGAACAATTAGAGCTTAGAATCACAGATTAGGCCTTTTTGATCTAATGGACACTGGTCCAATGTTAGCTTACAAACACTACTGTAGAAGAAGGTGCTCACAAAGAAGATAAAAACTACTAAGGACCGCAAAAAGCATGCTGGAATTGACAGCGGCAGCTGTTGGATTGTTGAAAGACTTGCTTTAGGAGATTTGCTTTTAGACGATGGGCTTTAGATTGTTTGTTTTATGAGAATAGTTGTAGATGTGCTAGACGTGCTGGAGTACCTTCTAGAAGTGGCAGCAGTGAGAGCTGTGGTAACGGAGCTGCCACTGTGTGGGTGAAGGCAACAAGGGGGGCAAAAAAGAGAGGGAGCAAGAGCGCCTGTCTTGCAATAGATGACATGCTTGTGCAAAGGGCGACGGAGGTGGGGAGAAAGCGACAACGCGGTGGCGATGGGAGATTTTGCCGGAAACGGCACTGACAGCTGCCACCGTAAAGACAGTAGGGAGCAACAGGGTTCCGCACCTCATTTGCAGCACTGCCCTTTATTACAAAGTGAGGAACGGACGTAAGAAGTGCAACGACAGAAAGCGAGTACCGTATTTACCCGCAGATAGGTCGACCATGAAAATAGGTCAACCCCTCTTTACTAAACACACCAAGAATAAAAAAAAAAAAAATTTCAAATACAGTAGAGACCACTTACAACGTAACCGCTTATAGTGCAGGACCGAGTATAACGCTTTTTTAAACCACCAGTTCGCCTCCCGTAGAACTCCATGTAATTACATACCGCTTAAAATGCAGGCGCACGAAGGGAAATACCGGTTATAGTGCGGTTTCTGTAACAGCCTGCCGACCGCGCCGACCACTAGATAACGGCGCTAGCCGCAAGCGGCACTCGTGGGGCAAGGAGGTTGCTCGAAGAAGCGGGGAGAAGCGAAGAGAGAGGCTTCAAGGGGCACTGACACCCCAAAGGTCGTATTATTTTTTATTGTCTAAAACGATGCAAGTTGTTGTCATAGACACGCAAAAAAAAACTTTCCCAAGCACGCGCGCGCCTTTTTATTTTTTGCGTTTATATTTCCCGCGCTCACCACCTTGCTTCTTTTGATCGGTGACGTCAAAAATCAGGAAGTTTAGAAGCTTTGTAGGCGACATTTCTATAACTTTTAATAACAGCAATCGTAAAACATGTTTTTTAACGCAATTGCGAACGTACTACGGCCCCTTTTTTGAAATACAAAAAATCAGATTTCGGTGTGATGTCGCTTTCTGGATTTGTATCCTTCCTCGCAAACTTGGCGGCGCTATCGGCGAGACGAGGAGGAAACCGGTTTTTCCCGCGCCGGCTTCTATCCCGCCTGCTCACCTCCTCCTCGCCTCGGGTTGCTGTGGCAACGGCAGAGGTCCCAAGGAAAGTCGAGTCGCAGGAGACCGCAAAATTTGACTCACTGCACTGGCGCGGATCACGCGGGAACTTCAAATTCGGCATTTGGAAATTGTTTTTTTAATTCAGAAATACTGAATTCCCAAGTTTCGAATTTTGAGAGCAATGTCCCGGCATCGTTTTCAATCGTTTCGGATAATAAAATAAAATATGATTTTGATGTGTCAGTGCCCCTTTCAGTTACCATAGCGACGGAGGGACGCACGCACGTGTCGTTCACGTGCGTGCGTTTCTCCGCTGCGTTGGAAACAACCACAATGACAGACCAATCGCAGATCGAAGAGAAGTGTTCGCGCGCGTTGCATGCCGGTCGCGGGCCGGCTTCTTCTATCGGCAAACATTGCGTCGGTTATGATCGTCGACGTAGACGGCGTGGTGGAAGCTCATTGTTCCGCGTAAAAGCGTTATCTTTGACTGTGAATTTTCGTTGTGTGTCGCTATGATAACCCAGCACGTACTAGAAGGGAAGATCCACCTACTCGTGCGGCGATGTCGTAACGGCACTCTCAAGACGGCAGAAACGCCCATGTCGTCGTGTTTGTTTACTTCGACTACAGTGGTGCTTTCTAAGCATTTGTGTTTTCGAACATCGCCCCGATTGCTTATTTGGAGCATTTCATGCCTGTGCTCATGTTGAAGGTATTACTGGTGCAAACCGTCTAAAGGATGCGAATTTTCACGTGTTTTCATCACCAGAGAAAAGTGATTAGGGTTAGCAATCCTGAACGCTCGCAACGTCCGTCCGCAACCCGCGACGCCGTTAAAAGGCTGCGCCAGGCGAAAGTCGCTCATTTCTTTCAAAATGTGTGAAAACTTGAGAGAGAAGTGTACTAGTCTGGTGAAATAAAGACTTTAGTTAAACTAAGCTTTATTTTTCATCTAACATAAAATAAAAATATTTTACAAAGGTAAGTTGTCTCAAGGCATGTATTTTGGCGTGAAAAATTGATGTTTTGGATATAACGCGGTACCGCTTATACAGTATAGACCACTTACAACGTAACCGCTTATAGTGCAGGACCGGGTATAACGCGGCTTTTTTAAACCACCGGTTCGCCTCCCATAGAACTCCATGTAATCACATACCGCTTAAAATGCAGGCGCGCGAAGGGAAATACCGGTTATAGTGCGGTTTCTGATACAGCCCACCGACCGACTAGCGCAGCGAGCACGCTTCCCTGTGCGACACTAGATAACGGCGCTAGCCGCAAGCGGCACTCGCGGGGGTAAGGATGGCAAGGAGGTTGCTCGAAGAAGCGAAGAGAGAGGCTTCAGTTGCCATAGCGACGGAGGGACGCAAGCACGTGTCGTTCACGACCAAATACTCCTTGTTCACAATGCAAGGACGCAAGACGTTGGAGCGAGCCAACAATGGAGCGAGCCCAACTTTCCCCTCTGCGTGGCTGCGTTGGAAACATGGTTGGAAATAACCGCAACGGCAGACCAATCGCAGGTCGAGGAGAAGTGCTCGCGCTTGTTGCATGCCGGTCGCGGGCCGGCTTCTTCTATCCGCAAACATGGCGTCGGTGGTGATCGTCGACGTCGACGGCGTGGTGGAAGCTCATCGTTCCGCGTAAAAGCGCTATCCCTGACTGAGGATTTTCGTTGTGTGTCGCTACGATAACCCAGCACGTACTAGAAGGGAAGATCCACCTACTCGTGAGGCGATGTCGTGGCGGCACTCTCAAGACAGCAGAAACGCCCGTGCCGTCGTGTTTGTTTACTTCGACTACAGTGGTGCTTTCTAAGCATTTGTGTTTTCGAACATCGCCCGTATTTCTTATTTGGAGCATTCCATGCGCACATTTCATGCGCGTACCGTATAAAGGATGCAAATTTTCACGAGTTTTCATCACCGGAGAAAAGTGATTAGGGTTAGCAATCCTGAACGCTCGCAACGTCCGTCCACAACCCGCGACGCTGTTAAAAGGCTGCGCCAGGCAGAAGTCACTCATTTCTTTCAAAATGTGTGACACACTTGAGAGAGAAGTGTACTAACTAGTCTGGTGAAATAAAGACTTTCCTCAAACTAAGCTTTATTTTTCATCTAATATAAAATAAATTGTTTTACAAAGGTAAGTTGTCCCATGGCATGTATCTTGGCCTGAAAAATTGATGTTTTGGTTACATAGCGCGGTACCGCTTATAGGTGACATTCACTTGACGTCACTCGCTAGATGCGCTGGCATCGGCCAACACGGTCACCATCTTCGAGGTCTCCTTCTATCTCACGTAGGTATTGGGTGCCGTCTGACCGGACCTTTCAGCATGGGTTAGCAGCATTTTACAACTTTAAAGGGTCTTTTTGGCCGAAGCTACGGGTTATTCTTAAACTTTGGTGCTTTTGAAGCGCCGTAGGAATATTTTTTCTGTGTGTTTTAGTTTGTTTCCGTCGCTATCAGACTTTCCCACCGCGGCCGTGTTGCTCCCTCGGCTCCATGCAGCTCTCCGTGTCGCGCGCCGTGCCCACGGCGGCAGCTCTTGCAAGAACTGTGATTTTTCTACTTTGGGGCTTTTGTAGCACGGTGTGATTACTCAGTGTTTTGTTTTGCTAGTTTCCTTACTGTTTTTTCTCTAGCAGATTGTCTGCGCTACGGCCGTGTAACCGTGTTGCTCCATCGCCTCCGTGTCGTATGTCGTGCCTTCGGTGCTCGTTCCTGTGCAGAAACATGCCGTGCGGCTCACCGAATGCGCAGCTAATGGAAAATGCACCAGATTTTTCATTCGCCCAGACGATTTAAAAACCGCATGCAACCGATTTGGCGAGCAACTAGACAAGCGACGGCGACCCGCTTCGCTGTCGTTCGGTGACTCGCGCAACGAGGCAAACCCCATGAAAGCGACGGAAGCAAACGACCAAGGCGATGAGCGCTAAGTTTTCTAGAAATCCAAAAACCGAGCTACGCGATGAGCGACAGTGAAGGGTGAACCGCATGTAAGCGAGCGACGGCGACAGCGACGGGAGTCGGCGACGAGCGACGGAGATTTCTCACGGTCGCTCGTCGCGTCGTTCGGTTTTTAGACTTCTAGAAATCGTCGCTCATCGTCTTGGTCGCTTGCTCCCGTCGCTTTCATATAATTTGCCTCGACGCACGAGTGACCGAGCGACGGCGAAGCGGGTCGTCGTCGCTTGTCTCGTCGCCGTCGCTCGTCTCGTCTCGTCGCTACCTCGAAGATGGCGGATCGACGGTGGCGCTCCCTGGCAAAAATTGAACCTGCAGGCCCAGTGAATATCACCTACAGTGCGGATTTTCGCGACTCCCGCGACATACGTTATATGCAGTCTACACTGATGTGTGGATTTTCGCGACTCCCGCGACATACGTTATACACGAACTCATCTCTGTTACGTCACGGCGCGGTGGTGGCGCGTCGGTCGCATTTCTGGTTTGGGGCTGTGGGCAGAAGTCCCCATGCCAGACGTGTATTCCTGTGTTGTTTTGATAGGAACTAGACAAAAACCTGCCTTCTCGTCAAAACGCCACGATTGGGCCGTACCAAAAGTGTCAAGAAAGGTTTGAAAGTCGGTTTTCACGTGCTCGGTTTGTCCGAGAATCTGGATATGTGCCGTGAAAAGGGAAAAGCAGACGCCGTCGGACAACGATTGCTTGGGTGGGAAGCACTTTGGGTTGAATTCACGGACAGCTGTGATCATCAGATTTATTTGCTTTGTTCCAACATGAATGCCAAAAAACCGTCAAGTTGTGCGGACCACCTGCGGACTACGTTCAGTGCGTCTTCAAGTTCTAACGGCCACCTGATCGTTCGAACTGTCGTCTGCTCTTTCAGACGTGTCTGCTTGTAGTCTGCTCTCTCAGACGACGCCGGCCGGTAGACAGAATCTTGGCCCGGTACTTGCGATAAGAAGTGATGCATGCCTCAAAAGACTTACATTTGAAGGTTGGTGAACAGGCTCGATGTAAACAGTAGATACAAGGAGATGTTGATCATTGTTACCAGTGACCATCACCGACTTGCTAGGCCTGATTCGCATGGTCCGATTCTGCTTTAGATTTTGAGTATCGACGTCGACCATCTCAGCTTCGGTTCACGCTTTTGCAGCCCGAGCGACGTTGCGACTGAAAATAGCGAGCGAAATCTCATCATGCGAATCAGGCTTTAGCGTACATTCTGCGGCGTCCACGCAGAATGAATCGCCGCATGCCACATTATTGACGCGAAGTTTTGCGGTGTAACGAGCCTTGTTAATTTCGCTGAGGCCGCTCAAGTAGTCAGACATTGCCAGGAAGACGTAGAATCAACAATTCGAACGCGAAAAAGGGCAGGGGGACTCACACAGACGCCGATAACATCGCATTTCAATGGTTTGTTTATGGGCAACGGCGAGCGTCTTGCCCACACCCCCATCGCGCATGCGCGGCGCCGGTGGCGTCCGCTAAAGGCGTTCCGGGCGCTCCGGTTTGTTTGTAAACATGAGTTGGTGTATATGCGGTCTACACTGTATAGGTAGACTTTTTTTTTTTTTAGGAACAGGGGAAAGTTAGGGCGATAAAACAAACCTTTATTGACAGCACTCTAGGCTAAATCGCAGGGCGATGCCAAAAACTTAATCATCTTCAGAACTTCCAGACATGTCATCGTCGTCCGAAGCTTCGTCAGCTTGATAGACATCCTCGCAAATTTGCAACAATACCTCACTGACACCGTTGTAAAATGATGACAAGAAGAAAGAAGGTGGAGATGGGTGAAGCGGGGAAAGACCAAATTCAAAGACGCGAGCAACGCCGCGAGTCGCCGTGAGCCGTGAGCAACACAAGAGCCGCTACAAGCAACAAGCTAAAGTATCGTATTTACTCGCATAATAAACGCACCCCCCACAACGGGCATCAGTATTTTGACTTTTTTTTTTCCTCCCGTAATTAACGCACCTCCAATTTTCGAATCCGCGAGTCTCGAATTGCGTCCAATTTAGCAAGCCACCAAGCCAGTTTTCTTTTGCCAAGTGGTAAGGCCAAGTCAACCCAAGCCAGGCTGCTCTCGTAATGGCCACAAGTGCATAGTTGCGGTAGTTACAAAAGTGATCAACTGTGCAACTGAGTGTCGCGCACACTTGACGAAGCTTGGGTCGAGGAACTGTCAAGCCCCGGACATTCTTCGACATTCTTCGCCTATCAGATGCATTGATGTCAACTAACAAGCCGTCGTCTGTGGTCTTTTTTTGGACAGTGTAATTGTGAAAGTGGTTAGGCCTAATTTCCCATACTCCGGGTAAATACGTTTATTTAATCTGCAACCGAACGGCACAGAGAGGTGCACACTCTGCTGTAGGCCGAGAGTGTCTGGTAGCCTCTCCGTGAACGAAACTTGATCCGTGCGAGCGGGCTTCGGGAGTTGGCGGTTGGACTTCGTACGAGTTCTTGTCTCCGTCAACAAATCTTGATCCGTGCGACCGGGCTTCGGAGGTCGGGGGTTGGACTTTGTACGAGTTCTTATATGTGTAGTCACAGATTAAGCCTGAGCGTGCCCCCCGGATACTAGCAATATATATCGCCTAAGAACTATCGTGTTGCTTTTCGTGCTGAGTGAGTTTCGTAGGGTATTTTTTCTTTGGCAAAAGGCACTCCGAAAGCGCCCTAAGAAGGTTCGCAATTTATAAAGCATGGTTATTGTGGTGCGTCCTTGACCAGCCGTGGGTGCGCCTCCATCACTGGAGACATGCTACAGTACCTTGCCGTGTCATTTTGGCACCTAATATGACATTTGCACGAAGTGAGTAAATGCAAAAATTTTATCCCGTGTAATGAACACGCCCGCCCCCGCCCCCCCCCCCCCCCCCCCCCTCCCAAATATGTGTAAAGTTTTCGGGAAAAAAAGTGTGTTTATTATGCAAATAAATGCGATAACCTCCGTTGTTGTTTTTTTTCTTTTTCTTTTTGTGCGCATTTGCAAGAAGAAGAATGGAGGGCAAGGTGCATTGCGTTCCTCTCCCTCCCCTTTCCCCTTGCCCAGCGAGGGAAATGAAGGGAACGCTACAGGCACTACAAGCAGGATGGCGAAACCCGACGCCTGAGGGATGTGTGCGAGCAGCGGCCACGCGGGGGGGGGGGGGGGGGCTGCTTGCTGCTGCTGTTTCGGTTGTTAGCGTGCACCAAAAAGAGGTGCCGCTCCACGGCAACGCCGGGCTCAGTGATTCGATAGCTCTATACCCCAAGTTCGCAAATGTAGGTTGAAATTCTTTGGTCACGATTATAGGTCAACCCTCAATTTTTAACATTTCCAAAAAAAAAAAGAAAAAAAAAAAAGTTGAATTATTTGAACAAATACGATACTCACCTTTTTGATGGGGTTCTGGAACTTGTCGGTGATGCTGATCAAGATGTCGGCTTGGTGAACCTCCCCTATGCGGACGTCCGTGGTGCCCTTGCAGGCCACTTTCAGGATGGAGGGCTCCCCAGTCTTGGGCCTAGAATTCAGTGGACTCCTTTTAGCATGCTCCTACAATGCCAAGATTCGGGCAAACACATACGCTGCCACTTTCATGCTAGAGACAGGGTGATACTTTCGTACGAGACCACTTTTTTCCATGGAACGCACACAGTCACACCTCCTAAGTTGCAGAAAATTACTAAGGCATCATGGACCACCACAAAGGGACAAGTTGAATTACCGTAAAGTTCCAAGAGAGCGCCCGCCCCCGAGAGATCAACCATCTTGTTCTTCTGGCTAAATATCTGCAACCTGCTCGTTACGTTCCGAGACCTCCAAGCTAGGCTCGACGTACATCTAAATATTTCCCGGGGGCCTGCGGTTGCGGGCATGGACAGTAACGAGCGGGCACGTAGCGAGGTGCGAGCAGCAGTTAGCTAGACGGCATCCGTGCCAAATGCATCCTCGACGGCCACTCCCCGAGATGCAGTTGGGAGCAAGGCCCTCACTTGATGGTGAAGGAGAAGTCAACCACGTGTCCCGTGTTGATGGAGATGTGGCAAAAGAGGCTCTGCTTGATGGACGAGGGGCACATGATGTCTGGCAGCGTCCCCGTTAGCAGCTCCTCCTTGGACAGGTTGGAGGCCCAGTTCAGCTTCAGCTTGGACACAACGCTGTTCGTCAGGGTCACGGGCTTTCCGATTTCGTCCCGGACCTCAAACCCTGCACATCCGCAACAATGGGTCCAGTGTTATGCCTGTTTATCTCCTCCTTTCAAGAGTACACCCCGATGCTTTCAAGCGTTGAACAAATGCTTCAATAAGACAATGTAATAGATCTGCTACAAAAGGTTAAAATCTTATCTTGATTCTTTGCATAAAGCCGAGAGATCCAGAGTGCGTCGCGTGTCTCTTAGCCTCAAACTTTTTTTATGCCTTTAGACATTTAGATGTGTATTAACTTTTCAACTTTTTAGTAATTTAGACCCCTTTCGTGTGTACTGTTAGTTGGATTTTGGAGGGTTTTCTAGACTTGTTTGAGAGGCTAAGACACACAATACCATTCTGTGTCTTCCCCTTTTACTAGAAGAATCAAGGTAAGTAGCCAATTTTTCCCATTAAATTACAACTTGAATCATTTAACTTATTGTTTGCGGACTGTTGCTTGTCTGACGTCACACGAAGTCACGCAACATGGTCGTGTAATTATGACATCACGTGAAGTCATGAAATATCACATCAAGTCACATGATAAGCCCACATGACCGCGACGTCGCATAAAATCAGGTGACGTGATCATATTAAGTAATCACAAACTCTGGTGGATCCCGTAAGAGCTACAGACCGACACGCGAGCTTGATGTCACGGAGCTGCGGCGGCACTGCGATCGTGCCGGAGCCGGTTGGTGTGGGCAAAAGGGTGCACGTTTTGCATGGGCATCATAGCATTTCAGCATGCCGCGAAGCTCTGTTGCCGTTAATTGCACAGAAAGGTGCAAAAAAAGTAGCAGAGCGAGTTTCCGCAAGTTCTTAGCAGACTCTGAAAGGCACAGAAGGTGGATAATATCCGTGGACCGAAAAGAATGGTTGCCTCGCACGAACGACGGTTTGTGCGGCAAGCACTTTGTTGAAGGCTAGTGCAGCTTCCATTTCAATACCCGTCCCGAGGATTGCTTATGTGCAGGGAAACCGTCGTCTGATCGAGACCACCCGGGTTTTGTTCCCACGGTGTTCCCGCACAAAGCACCGGCCAAGCGCTCGTCGGAGGCTCGCTAAGCCCGTGCTACCAAGCAGAAGGGGATCGGCGACAGAACGGCAGTGTGGTAGGCGTTACCGAAAAAAAAGTAACGAAATATGTTACTTGTTAGGCGCAAATAAAATGTATGCATTACCGAGCTATATTACCTAAAAATAAAAGGAACACGTTACCGCTCGATAAAAAGTAACGCACGTTACTTCTGCGTTACTTTTTAAATTATGATTTAACACATTTTACTGTTTTGACGATACAGGTATGCATAAGCTCGTGTATAAAGAAACATTACGCTCATGCAGAAACTGATTATAATTACTTTATCTCTTTACGGTTTCACCTAAATACTCGCAAGAAAAAACGCAAAGGAAAACGCAGAAAACTTGGAAATTCACATGGCTTAACTCCTAAAAACACGGAAAAAATTGAAGTGTAATTTCTGTAAGACTTGGGAAGTAGTAACGAGTAATGTTACTTGAATTGGTCGAAAAAGTAACGAGTAGGTTACTATACGTTACTGAAAAAAGTAGCGTGTTCCTGGTTACGCCGTTACTTGTAACGTGTCACCGCCAAGACTGCAGAATGAACAAAGCGTTACTGCTTGTCATGCCTTGTGGTCATGAGGGTAGGAAAAATATAATACCTTTACTTTAAGACTCTGTGTGTATTTAATCAATTAATAAATACACTTCCGCAGACACACAGTCTGCTGATCCCACCGGCATTGCGGAAAGCGACTCAAGGCCTCGAGAGTAGGGATGTCGCGAACCACCCTAGGTTCGATTTCGAAAGGTTTCGATATTTGCGAAGCGAACTGAGGTTCGATTTCGAAAAATTTCGATATTTTCGTATCGACCGAAGTTCGATTTCGAAAAATTCTCAACTTTTGTCCACAGCGGAGTTTCGAATTCGAAAATTTCGAAGCTTTCACGGTTTCTAAAATTTCGAATTCGAATATTTCGCAATATTTTTTTACTTCAGGTTCGATAAATTCGAAAATTTCGAAATTCTTTGTAAAAAAAATTTGAAAACTTTGAACGCTTCGAATTTTTATAGACATGAAGTTCGAACAATTAGAAGATTTCAAATTTCTTTTTGCATAAAGTTCGAAAAGTTCGAAGGTTTCGATTCTCTTTTAACGGTAAAATAAAAAATAAAAAAAAAACTTCGAAGATTTTGAATTTTTTTCTAATCCAAGTTTTCAAATTTCGAAGTCCGATTTGCAAGTTTTTCCACAGTTTCAGTTTCAAATAATGTTTTCACTGCTCACTGGTTTTCACAAAATCAAGTTTAGAAAAGTTAGGGTGTGATATCTAGATTCTGCGAAGTTGGTCAGGCAATTAAATGAGACGACGAGTGTCCCGGACGTGCTAGAATATTTGCCAGTGCAGAATTGTGACCGCCAGCCCCGGGGGGGGGGGGGGTTGTCTTTAACCTGCATCACGCAGTAGTGATTGCACGAACACACTGTTTTACGAGACTCTTCCAGTTCGAAACGGCCAGGGGCGAGCAGGAGGTTGAGGCTCAGAAAAACCTTGAAGCGACCTGGCAAACTAGCTCGCCACCCCTTGCACGCTGGTAGTAATCCGATCCGGTGAAGTTTATAATTGTCCTGGAGGTTTATTTTCTGGGACGGAGGAATCGCCTCGCAAAAAGCACAAAAGCCGACACAACTCGAGGTCCAGGAGCGTTCTACCATACAAGTGGCGTCGGAAGAGGAAAAACGGGGGGAAAGAGGGTAGCAGGGGGGGGGGGGGGGGGGGGGGGGGCTTCAGCCTCCTTCTTCCCCTTGCAGGTATTTCGGACTGTTAAAGAAAACAATACGGGGATAGAGGGCGTGGTCGAGCTTATTTAAATCTGAAATTATTTATGCATATGTATAGCTAATGTTGCTCTTCACTGCATAAAAGATCGCGTAGATGGTCATTGTTAGAAACTCGTTGTCAGAAGGCACTGCTCGTCACATGCTTAGTGGTTCGGAAATTCAAAGCTGTCTTTTCGACCTAAACACCTGTGCCGATAGTAACAAAAGGAAAAAAAAAAAAAAGAATAAATGCGGGAATAAAAAGCAGGAGAAAAAAAAAAAACTATCAAGAATTCGTCGGAAGTGTTCTATTCTTGCATATTCAGAGGTTCAGAACTTCGAAACAAGTTTCTTTTACCAAAATGTGTACAGGCTAAAAGAAACACGTCCCAGGAACGTGAAGCGAAACAAAAAAAGTTTTCTTTTAATGACCTGCTGAACTTGAACACTACAAGAAATCTTCTCCCATGAGTTAATTTATTCCTTAACATGAAAAAACAATAAATATATTATTTTGTATTCTGCAGATGGCAATGATATGTACTGTCTGTGGTGTTAATTTAAATGCGATGCCTCAAACAACTTAGACGAAAATAAATATAAAGTTTAGGTCATAATTGCATGCAGATACATGTTTGGACATTTCTTCGAAACTCACGTTGAATAACAATAATCACATCTTAAGACGGCACTTACCTAGGCTATACATAGATCATTCTTAAAAAAATGATAACATATCTACCATAAATAGCTCCGGCTGCAGCGTGCTTCAAATCTGGCACAAACGATAATCGTCAAAAACCCGTCGTCCTTCCTCGCCCCTTCGGGGATTTATTTCTTTAAACCTAAGCATGCCAGAACGTTGAAACAAACGACATTGTCTTTCGTAAGGAACGCAGCACCGCGTGTAAAAGTTTGAGAAAAAAAAAATTACGAATGTACCCCACTACTTGAAATCAAATGAAACCGTCCGCCGGTCTTTCGAAGTTCGACGAACGTCGAACTTTTACCCTAAAAGTTCGAAGTTCGTCGAACTTCTGACTTTTCAGAAATCGAAATTTCGAAACTTTTCGAATTCTCTTGATAAACAAGTTCGAAAGTTCGAAATTCATCGAATTTTTCGGTCAGTCAAGTTCGAAAGTTCGACAAGCATCGAACCTTGCAGCGCAATAATTTCGAAAGTTCGAAAAAGATCGAATTTTTTAGCGTAATAAGTTCGACGGTTCGAAAAGCGTCAAACTTCTTAGCTTAACAAGTTCGAAAATTCGACCTCCGTCGAATTTTACGATATAGACAATTCGAAAAATCGAAATCTTTCGAACCTTTCGAACCACTTGATTCGATCATCGAAACTTCGATTCGAAAAAAGTTCGCGGCATCCCTACTCGAGAGACTTGTACACCTGCACCTTGTTGGCCGTGAACTCGCTTGGCGAAAAAACTGAATAAACATTGACGTGAGCCATAGACGTCGGTGGCAGCAACTTCACGTCTGAGCTCGAGCAGGCCTTGTTTGCGGCGTACGGATCCTCAAAGGCAACGCCGCCCATGCGCAGTTTGTTTCGATACCGCAGCAGTTCCGGCTCAGGTAGCGAGCTCAAATAGTCGGGCATAGCATACGACACACGTTGTCAGGAAATACGACGCACAAATAAAGCTAGAAGCGTTCCTAAAACGTCAACAATGAGCGCAAGCCACACAATGCAATGGTGAAAACAAGGAGAGCCGGGCCGCTTTTGCCCACATAGCTTCCGCGCACGCGCGATTTTCCGGCTGCGTTGGTAAACAGAGCCACTCTGTGTGTTGGTCTATAGTGGTCAAGTGATTAGGTAATCCATGGCGAATATGTGATAGGACATCACATGACCCTTCCCGACACTGGGGCAACAGATGTTGTGCAGCAGCACAAGTACATTGTCTCAATATTACCAGGCTTGCGAGAGGTCCGTGGTTCAATTCCCGGTGAGAGGCCGAGTGTTTTCTCGTAAAGACACCCGGCTGTTTTACGCTTTCGTAACAACTCTTTGTGACACTGAAAGCCTGCAAAACAGCTCGTACAAACATTCTGCTTTAAAACTAGCCCAAAATAATGTAATCATACCTCTAACCGTTGGTTCATCACCTTACACACATCTATCTGAACCCTTCAGGGAATCGCCAACTCTTGGAGACATTGCCAACCCTTCGAAACATCACCGACCAGCCCAAGCTTCCATCCAGAATACAAGCGTTGCTTCTTGCACCTTACTGGAAATGTTAGTCTGCAGTCATTCGTGCAACAAAAATTGGACCCGGTCGTGGCTCGGCCAACCGAGCGTCGCCACGCGAAAAACGAGAGACTCACTGAGTCCTGTGATGGTGTCTCCTGCGACCCAGGAGAGGTCTCGCCCATTCTCGAGCTCCATCTCCTCCCCGTCCTCTCCGGTGCAGCAGAGGTAGAGAGAGGCCGCCTGGTGGCTCGGAAGCATCGTTAGAACCCTCTCCACGTGCCCGATGCTCTTGTTGTTCTGCCACGAGAAACCGGAGAGAGGGGGGCATTAGGAACGGGTTTTTTAAAGCCGACACCCTAACCGGGCACAAAAGACCGAGCCTACTCGACGCTGCTTTTAAAGACAGACTTTAGTTTTCTACTATCAATTATATACTGCTTCGTACGTGGTGTGCAGTCCTGGCCAATGCAAGCCGAAACGACCGAGTGATGACCGAAAGACGCCGGTGTCGCTGCTTCAACACAAGAAGTTGAACTAGCAGCAAGAGATGACGTGCGGACGAGAATGCAATGGCATGCTACCTGGCTCGGCCCGATCATTCTTCACAACTGCACGCCGTTGCCGCTCGCGTGCTGCTGCTGAACTTGTTTCTAGTTATCACTGTTTCTGCCCGTTCAAAGATCTAAAGAAATCGGAGCGCAGTTACACTATCGCGCAACTTGCATCGCGGCGACATTGGCTCGGTGCTCGCATGATTCGCTATTCTTGTGGCATCGTCACCGTTTCTGCACACCCTCCCTAGCACCGACTCTGAGGATTCTCCCGCCATTTTTGCTTCAGCTGTCGATACCGCCCCCTCCATGCGCGACCCTTACTTCGGTTAAGACGAGCCTCTTCAGTACATCGCAACAGGAAGTCGCATTCCTCGTACCCGCTCAAACTTTTCGAACTCTAGCCATACGGTGTGCAAGTTTGTCTGCTCGGTCAGTCATGCCCATGCGCCGGCACAACGATGTGTCGACTACGGCCACCGTCAAAGTGGGAACGGCGGGACGTCTCTTTCAAACACCTAGCCTCCAGCACACGCCTGAGGCACCCGAAGTTTTTGCGAAGGACGACCGTGCAATTCCCCTGGGAGGTTCCCACTAACAGCCGTCGCTGTAAAAGTTATTTCTCTGGCGCGGAGACCATGCGCCAGATAGTAAAGGCAACACCATGCGCGAGTAGGCGAGAGGAAGAGTAAAGGAGACGGCGAAGTCGCACGCCAGTGCTCCCGACGCTCTCGTCCGTAAGACGTCTCCCATTGCTAGTTCTCGCATTGAGGCAATACCACCGGTATCTTTCGGTCATCACTCGGTCGTTCCAGCTTGCATTCTCCACAACTTTACAAAGCTACTGAAGCGGCTGGTGCAAGCACGTGGCTTGATCTCGAGGTTCATTTGCGCGCACCACAGCGCAAATTAGGCACTGCGATGAAGGCCCGCACTCCCACCAGTAGCTTTTACAGCATTGTACACAAGGCAAGAACGAAAGTATAGTCACAATCTTCAAAAAATCTTTGGACTGCAATACCTGCGCAGCACCAGTATCGCATACCTGCCAAGTTCGGAGAAACTAAATCAAAGACATTTTATAAGCCAGTGTAAGGGGAAGGCAGTGCTTTTCTGATGGGAAACGTCTTCCATTTCGGTCAGTAGGGGGTCAATTGCTAAAACTGCATGTAACAAAAACATGTAACAATAATATTGTTTATACAGTGCAACCCACTTACAACGATACCACATATAACGATGTGCTGCTTATAACGATCAGTTTCTGGAGTTTCTAGACTGGAAATGATCAGTTTCTAGTCCAGATACAACGATAATCGGTTATAACAATTGCAATTGAGGGTTTTCTCATTATCGTTATTAGAAGTGGGTTGCACTGTATCTTTATAACCGTACAACCCACGTGTCTCACTCTGGTACCGTTTCTGTACCCTACTGCCCATACACCCTCTGCAGCACGCACAAGACGTTGCACGTACCCCACCGTGGCTGCGTCCCCGATACAGCCTACCTGATTTTTAGAGCGAAGCTGTTAAGGGCTAGTTTCCCGAAGATCGTGTCCCCTGCAAAGAAATGTCGACACAAAACTCTGGTTGCCGTCGTCGCTCATAGATGGCGGTAGCTGTCCAGAGTGTTGTGTTTGCCGGTTGTCCACTTGCCGCCATCGCTCATAGACCGCCGCAACATTTCTTTGGGGGAAGAAGCGCGGGAACGGAATGAGCGGCGAAGTGCGCAGCAGCGCGAATGGTTTCGTAACCGCCGCGAGACCGCTATCACCTAAAGTTACACTGCGTCGAGCGCTTCAGGATTCCTTGCGAAAGAAGAGCCTGGAAAGCCACCACCGAGAACAGAAGCTAAAGCTCTGCTGCTTTTCCTTCTTCACCGAAGTGGAAAGGCTGAATGTTTTTCATTTAACTTTTATTTATTTATTTATTATTCTGTATCTCTTTTTATACATTATTTCATTTTATTATCAACATTCAAGACGTGCCGCTTTCGCCGACACGTTGCATTCAACTAGGAAACTTTCAGCTGTTCCACTCTGGTGAAGTAGGAAGACCAGCCAAGCTGTACTATGGTTGGAATAAAGTAATGGCCGGCTGTAAGTCGGCAAGCCAGAGTGGAAAGGCTGGAAAGGTTATGCCATCAATAGCGACGGCAGCAACCAGACAACCAGCAAGCCAGTTGTCTGGTTGCCATTGTCGCTCATAGATGGCGGTAGCTGTCTAGAGTTTCATGTCATCATTTTGTTTGCTGACGGACACGACACTGGAGAAACTAGCCCTTAACAGCTCCACTGTAAAACATTTGCCCTTCTAGAGCAGCCAGGCTTGCAACCAGGCTTGCAGCCGAGGGGGTATTCAACTGCCATCGCACCAACCCAGATTTCGAGCCCCTCTGGGGCATCTTGTATCGACATTATAAGGACCTTTGTAAGCTTTCTATACAACCTTAACGAAGTGCAACGCTCCCGTTCGTGACAATTTTCTCGTAGAAAACCACCCATAATACACATTCTGAATAGAAAACGACCCATAACACACCATGCGACCCGTAGTGATACCAGTCAATGACCTCGTAACCTGTAGTGGCATCGTGAAATAGCAACGTAACACAAATCCCAATTTCGTTTCCTGCTAAAACGCAGTTCTGAATGAAATTTCAAAAAGTCGTCCGGAATTTCGGGCATGGCAGAAGGAAGACTACCTGGACTTCGAACTTGGCCACGACCCTCTCCTCTTTCTGCACCTGACGCAGGTTGAGGGCAGGTCCCGTGATGGTGCCCTTGCAGCTGTTGGAAAGGTCCGCCGTGTACGTGGGGAGCCCCGACTGGCGGGGGGCCTGGAACTGAGAGGCGGGCGGGGAGCAACGGAAGGTCAGAAAGCCGTCGGCAACCGATCGTCCATAGGGACGGTGCTAACTTTTGCCGAACCGCGAGGTCCAACCGGTTCGGAAAACCCAACTTTCGGCGAACTTCGACCGAGTTGAACCTTTTAAGGGGGGAGGCTGGTTTTTAAATGGTAAAAAGTATGGCAAAAGTCATTTTTGAGAAAATGCCTTTTCTGATGTTTAGACATACCCACTCAGCTCTGTGCAAAATATTATTGTTCTATCTAATTTTTAAATACGAAAGGAAAAAATGAGGTCTTCATTTTCTATTAACATTAAAGAGATGCTGAACCGAAATTTTGATTCAACAAAGCACGCGGTAAAAGTGTGCAATGGGATGCTACAAACACCAAAACACCACTCATACAGCGATATCTCGAACGGATGACCAAATTTTTCAACAAAAAGGAGGCGCATTTGACAGAGATGATGTCGTCATGTTTCTCCGAGAAGGAGAGGGAACGGCCTCGCGTCTTCTCCGCCTCACAGCCTTGAGGGAGCGAAGCGAAGAGAGGAGGAAACTCGGTATAGTGATGTCACGCGCCTCGTCGGCCTAGTTCAATCTCGACCTCTTTTTCCAAAAATACGGCCATCCATTCGAGATATTGCCTTACGAGTAGTGGTGTAGGGATTGTAGCGCCCCGCCTACATTTCCTGCATTGTTTTTTCTGAAATCCAAATTTCGTTTCACCATCCCTTTAAGTACTTACTTCAAGGGGTTTTTCTCTCTTCAAACTTTTTTCACAAGTACCGATGCCTTACAGGCGTTTTCTGAAGTTTGTCTTCGACAATATTAACACATACATGCTGATTGAAGCCTGAGACTGTGGTTTGAAAAACGGAAACTTGTGAAGAAGCCGTAGCAACCATCTTGTCTTAAGCACATAAGCTATTGCAATGCAGTCTTGCAATGCATTTTGCCTCGACTAAAGTTGCCTTTAGTCGAGGCCGTGTGGATTTAGCGAGCAAAAAGTGACACTTGCAGCACATAGTTGCGCGTACCTTGCAGAGGACCGTGAACTTCGGTTCACAGGTGTAGTTCCCTGCCATGTCAAGCACGGCCACTTCAAAGACCGGCGAGGAACCGTTTTCAAACTGGAGCTGGTCTTCCACTTCAGGGAGGACTTGCAGCTCGTACGCCGGACCTGCGGCACAAAGCACATGATGAGATCATTTGACGAGAACGTACACCTCTTTAATCTGACAATCGCCTCCCTGTCGGGAGACAACGTGCCGCCAAACAACAGAAACGCCAGACGTACCCGGAAGCAGACGTATCTTGAGGGTCTGAGTGTTCTCTTCCAGCCCCGGGATCTTCACTGTCAAGGTGAAACTCTGTTTGCCCGTACAAGGATAAAAGAAACAAAAGAGAGAGACTTTGGCGAGCACCACCAGCTACTACACTGCAAAATAAATTCCCCTGCTATTGTGGCAAAGGCAGTGGTAACGCAGAATGTTGTAACGCAGTGGTAACAAAGGCAGTGGTAACAAAGGCAGTGGTAATGCAGAATGATCACAGCGCCACCGCTTCCAGTGCCGCGGCAACTCGGAGACAGGAACTCCAGGAGCAAAACATATGAAAATGAATAAGACTAGTGCCGCGCTTCCTCGTGAACGGTGCCATCAAAAAGCGCACCGAAATAAAAGGAGAAAGAGTGCACACACTCAGGAAAGGAGCTTGCTCGTCTAGCGCGTGCTACAAGTATGTCACGTCACCGCAGTCTGTGTTTGGCCATATCATGTGAACCGCGGGAGCAACTTGGGTCTACCAGCAAGACGTGAGGCTAACACTCGCGTCAGATCGGTAAGGAGAGGAGTGCAGCATCAACATTCGGCTGCCAATCGCATTTTCTGGTTCCTCCATCGTGGGGGTGAGAACCGGAAAAGGTTGGGAGGCAGCCATTTAAGACATTCCACATTAAAAAATACGAAGCCAAAGGGGGGAACCCACCTTTCCGGAGTTGGACTCCACAATCCCTTTCGCCACGATGCCCTTAAGGATGAGCGAGTTGCCCTTGGGTTGGGCATTGTCGTACGTCAAGTCCAGTCCGCTGAATCAAGAGTGCAGCGGTTAGTCGGGGCTTCGTTCGGACACAATGCAGGCAGGCTGTCACAAGCCAAAGATGACGGCAAGCCGCAGCAAGTTACGCATTGCTTGTCATAATTAGGTTTCCTCCTCTTGGGTTATCAACAGTAGTAGCTGCTTAACTGCAGTGCGTACTCCATCCCAAGTCCCATTATGATGCTTTTTCCCAAATCATATTTTCCCTTTATGGTACTAATATCAGTATCTATTTCAAAACACCCTTTGCTAAGTTTTCCAAACATCAAAAAGCCTGCCTCGAGTGTAGTCACGTGCGCTATGCATTCTGGCATCTGCAGCAGAAACTGTTTTAAGACAAAGGGCACTTGGCACGCGCATTCGTCGACGCCTTTTTCCATTCATTGACTTTGAATCTTCTACACAGATGAGACGAGCGCGTACGGCGCGTGTACCTACGTTCCCAGTATTGCTCTCAGTGCCCGGCTAACCTGGTAAAAAAACTTATCTACCGAGAATAAGATGTGACACACACCACATATGTGGCCTCTGGTCAGACGGCCATCCACAATCCCCGACGCAATGGGAGAAAACTCACTTGGCTTTGAGCTCAGGCTTGAGGTCACTCGACGGCTTGGTTGCGTTCCCAAACTTGTCGAGAAAGTCGAGAGGGATCTGGAAGGGAGTGCCAACGCGGAACGGGCCCTCCAGATAGCCCACGTTGAACTTGTCCGGGGCCGCCTCTGCACGATACGCCGTGGAAACCATCGATTAACAGCTTGGTGCCACGCAACTATTGTGTCTAAAAACGCATCATCAACTGATGCATCTGGCATCCTATACCCCCGACGCGTCGGAAAAAAACCCAAGTTGCAACGCATTGCGTCGAAGAAGCAGCGCGAGTTCCGGCAGGAGAGACGACTCGGGCACTGCTGTCGTTGCAGCGACCCAGCTCGTAGCTACTGAAGCTTCCACGAGCCACCAAGCTAGCGACCTACGGCAGAACGGGTGTCCGTCATATCCAGATCCGCCGCGGTGTCATTGCTGGAATTGCGACGGGCAACGGCACAATGCAGGTGCGACGTCGTCGGGCGGAAATTGAGACCACAGATCAGGACACGCGTCGGTCGGAGACATGCTCCAGTCAAAGACATTGACTTTGTTGGATTAAACTTTAGTGGGGAACCAACAGTACACTTGAACGGAAATCAATGCTCTGGTATCTTTTGGGACCCCAAATTCAACTGTACCAACTACCAAAATGAAAAAAACGTTAAGACAGAGTTGTTAAACAAATTGTCTAGGCTGACAAATAAGTGCATTCCAAGGCGCCAAGGACCAAAAAGAAGGATTGATTCTAAAGTAGCGCAGAAGTTGGTTCTATGTCCCTTACAGAAAGACATTTAGCAAAAAGAACATTAGAACAGGTATATACTGCATAGAATGGTGTCTGCTCCATTTAATAAGCTCAAAATATGGAGAGAGAAAAAAAAGCACATCCCTACAGACTGCTAGTTGACATAAAACAGAATGACACCAGAACCCCAAAACCAGGAAGGTCTGTGCACTGTGAAAGTGCAGTAGGATGTCGTCGGTACATTCCCGGGTCTTTACGTGTTCCCGGCAGTTACATTCACAAATGCAGGGTCAACCAAATCTCCACGGGAATATTGTATCAATTGCCCATTTATCGCTCCTTCTTACCGCACTCACCGAAAAACATAATGTTTTTTGATGATGTAAACAAAACACGAACAGCCGAGCGAGTGAGGGAATGAAACGAGTGAATCGAGTCGGAGGTTCCCACCTGTGACAACAAAGCGAAGCTTGTGCGACGGGAGCTCCTTCCCAGAACAGATGGATGTAGAGTCGTTGAGCATGGCCTGCAGGGTCAGCGTGTGGGGTCCCAAGTTCTGGACGTTCTCTGTTCGGAGAAGCAGCACATGCATTCGATTGACGAGGCTTGTTTTTACATTGTCGTATTGACTTACGTATTGATTTTTTATTTACTTCATTGACATCCTTGTATTTACTCTTTCCCTTTCATAATCATCCATAACTCGTTAACAAAGGGCCAGCACTTGTATGCATGGCTCCTGCCTTTTGACTGCGTCAGGCTCACAGCCCTACGCATGTTAGCAGACATCTCTTAAGCACTTGGCCATACCGCCATAAATACCACGAAGTAAAACTCGCTCGTTGGAAATTTACAAGCTTTAAATTAACTTTTTAGTATAAATGAAAAAAAAAAGAAAAATTTAAATCATTGTGAAAAGACAATGCCTGTGACTATGATCACAAAATTTGAGGGTTTTCAAGCACCGTTAAAAATTCCAGGGTTTATGAGGACTAGAAAATAGTGTTTTCGAATTCAAGCATTTGCAAGGTTTCCAAGCTCCCGCTCGAATCGCACCAAAGGCCAGTTCGGAAAATTGCTTCCGAGTGCCATAGACCACCGTCGCACCTCTTTGCATTCCACTACAACGCATGGCGCACAGCTGAAATGAGGTGGCACAAGCGTGTAAATAGCACTCAAACGTTTCCGGTCCTAAGCTAGACAGAGGGTTTTGAAATATTTGCAAGATCACATCTATGCACTATTTATGAGGAATGGATGCTTATAACATTTTGCAGGACTTGCTGGTCAGGAGCCTTAGAAGGTTGATTGGCTGCCCGAGAATCAGATTTTTAATCTTTGGTTTCAGACGAAGCTCTATGCAAAGTGGCAAGTTGTCAGGCCGTAAAAATGTTTTCATAATCTGTGCTTTGCATTTATAGCAACTGAAATAAAACTGCTCCTTGATCATGTAACTTTGTTCGATGTTTCGCTGTTACTTGCATACCTTTTAGCACTTCGTTTAGAGTAGCTAGCGATCCCATGTACTGATGCTCGGGAGCCAAAATGTGCTAACTTACTTATTGAGGAAAGAAAAAAGCAGACATCCATTCAAAGTGGTGGGTTCAGAAATTGTCCTCTCTAAAGACTTGAAGCCACAAAGCCAGTCTTACTTTCTGTATTTCCCTCAATGGCATAAGTAAACACTAAGCTCAAGAAGCAGATATAATAATACTATCTTTATTTTTCCATTACCGTAATATCCCGAGTCATCGCCCATCCCCGAGCTATCGCCCACCCCATTTTCTGGGCCAATATTGATTTCCGAAAAAACACCGAGTCATCGCCCACCCCTTCAAATACCCTAGCGCGGACTCTGCGATCCGCAAACACTCATCCTACCCGAATGACGTGGCCGCGGACCTTATAGTTGGAGGACGTCCGTGACTAAGTAAAACGAAGGAGGGAAAGACACTTCTTTTTGTTTACGCATTTCCTCCGTGAGCGACCCCAAAGTGGTCGTGTATCCTTGCGAAAAGAAAACGATGGAGATAGCAAAATAAGAGTTTGTTAATGTAACCGCGGAGTGTTAGGTCAAAGTCTGTCTCCGCCGAAGGTCACCGCGAACCCGCATCTTCTTCCCGCCCGTCGCGACCGCGGTTGTGCAATATTTTAGGCAAAGCCAAAGCGTAAATAAAGCTTTGCTGGAACGTCCTACACAGGCCTTTGCAGAGCGTCCCAACTGTGCATTGATAGCCCGCCGTGCACGGACGCACATATGTACGCACCAAACAAGAAAGTTGCGCAAGAGCTTGCAATTGACAGGGCGCCCGACTTGGCCCGACGCCAAAGTATTTGCCAACGCGACCGCCGGCTTTCCCAGCATTGCTCTTGGTCGCTTCTTTGGTCCGCTCGCTCGCTCGTTGCGCCTGGTCGGTTTTCTATTTTCTTGTAGACTTTTCTTTCTTTTTTTTTTTTACTAACTAGGAGAACATAATGGTGACCTTCTTTCACGGAACAAACGTTCGCGCTATATGCAGATCGGCGGTGCTTCTAGCGCATATGCTAGCAACGGAATTCGCTATAGTAAATATTCTTTCGTGAGCATTTTTTTCTATAAAACAATGAAACTAAATCGAGTTTTGAGTTTGATGTATCTCTCGTGCATCAGCGCTAGATACGCAGAAAAAAATAGGCGGTTTTTTCCGCTTTTTTTTAAGTGTTTGTGCTCACCCACCAAGACATGGCCCACCCCACTTTTTTAACGAATTTCAGGCGGTAGGGGGGTGGGCGATGACTCGGGATATTACGGTATAGCAATAGGAGAAGGGGGGGGGGGGGGGGGGGAAGCTTAAAGATCAGCTTGGCGAGCTTCCTCCTCCCGAGAAATTATACAGTTAAAGATCAGAAGGCAGTCAGTACACTACCGTAAAGTTCCTAAAGAACGCTCACCCAAAACGAAGAGATAAATGGTGAAAACATTAGGTGGGCTATCTTTAGGGATGCCACAGCAAAACTTTATAAAAATTAATAATAAACACCCTGGCACCGGGTACAAACCATGTGATGTGGGAACTGATACCGCAGATCGCAGACACCTCAAATTCGCGTTTCACGATGCGATAAACACGCAAGGATTCACTACAAACTCCTGTGTCACGAGAAAGGATACTGCAGGTTGCAGACGCAGATTTGCGTCTCCCGTTGCGAAGGACCCGCGAAATTCCGTCGAGAACTCTCCTCTTTCGGGAATGAATACCGCAAATTGTGGACGCACCAGATTCAAGTTTTATGGTACAATAAACACGCAAGAACCCACTACAAACTTGCCTCTCATGGGAACCAATATAGCGCTCACAGATCACGGACAAAAACGCGGGAATCCACTACAACATCAAAATATTAAGTTGGGCTAGTACGTTTTCCATTTGAACTGGACGCCTCGAAAACAAGGACAAGAAGACGAAGAGACAACTCTCTCCTTCCTCTTGTCCTCGCTTTTTAGGCATTCATTTCAGATCCACTACAAATTCCTATGTTACGGAACAAATACTACAGATCTCGAACGCAGCACAATCGTATTTCATGATGCAATGTACACGCAGGAATTGAGATCGCACGCGCAGATAGCGGACAAAAATGCAGGAATCGACTACAAACTTTATGTCACGGGAACGAACACCGCAAATTGCAGACAAGGCAGGTTCGCATTTAACGGTGCAACATACGCGCGGGAACAACTCGCGTTTTACGGGAGCTGATATCACGCACCCAGATCCTGGATAAAAATGCGGGAACCCGCTATGAACCCACTTGTCAGTCGTGCCGGCACAGCAAATTGCGCGATTGAGCCGATTCCCGTCGGACATCACATGACGTCTAACGGGAATCGGGGGGTGGCCGATCTTTCGGAATGTTTAAGTAACAGATATTTAGCCAGAAAAACGGGATGGGCAATCTCTTGGGGGCAAGTGTTCTCTCGGAACTTTATGGTACATACAGTGGACTCCTCTTAAGGGGGGACGCGGGTCCTAAAAATGCAAAAAATCGCAAAAAAGTTCTTTTTTCAAAAATCCCGTATTTGGGTGCCTTACATATCCAGGCACCTCTGTCCGAAATATTATAGCGTAATTCAAACTCAAAGTATAAAAAAAACTATAATTACGTCGTGCGGAACGCGCCCAAAATCTTCCCGAAAGAGGAAACCGACGTCGAAATGCGCGCCCTCCGCGCTCCGCCGGTGCGCGCCCGTTCGCGGCAATTTTGGTCTCGTTCGAAAGCTTGCTTCTTTGTCTACATTTTTGGCGCCACTAAAAATGGCGTCCACCCGGGGAAAGCACAGAATACCGCGTTTCCCCGAAGAAAGAAACCAAGCTAGCGATTGGCTAAGGAGCACGGGCCGCAGCGAGCGCTGTCGCTATTGGCCGAAACGCATGCCTCCTCTCCTGAAATATGTCATTCTCCTCTCCCTCCTCTCCTTCCTCGCGGCGCGGAAGGAGCCAAGAGGTCCAGCAACGCAGTTGAGATCGTTGTTTGTCGTCTGCTAGCGGTTGCGTTTTGGCTTCAAGCACGTTATTTTTCGGCGTCCGCCTGCTTCGTTTAGCACGACGTCTTTAGGAGACATCGGTAGCGATCGCGATGCCTAGCGTGAAGCGTTCAACGCAGCGTGCGTACGGCAAGCGGAAGCTGCTGGCGTGGAACAAGACGACTTCGCTCGCATCGCCAGCCGCGTTGCTTGAGACGGACATGCGGCAAGTTCAGCTGCCAGCAGCTACATCGTCTTCCGTGATGCCCGCCCCTGATGTGAGCAACGAAGGAGACGACGGCTTCGGCCCTGGTCCGTCACGACTCGACTCGCATTTCTACACGGCAAGCGAAACTGCCCAACGTGCGGCGCGGGCTGACGAGTTGAAGAAGGATTTGGCCGCGAAGTCTGCCACGCAACGGAAGTTCGACCTCCTCAATGTCTCGGTCGAGGATGAAGAGACAGATTCCGGCACGCAGTTCGTGATCGTCGATTTGAACGTGCTGAACATGTTCTTCGCGAGCACCAAATGTGGGCAGTGCGGATTGGCCGCGCCTACGCTCGAGAAAGCCAAGGAGAAAGAGTACGGGCTGGCTGTGAAGTTGGTGCTGACGTGCCCGTCGTGCGGCTTCTCCGAGAAGCATTTTTCGTCGCCCAGAACTCAAGGGGAGGCACGGATTACGCCTTTTGAGCTCAACATGAGAGCTGTGAAAGGGATTCAGTCCATTGGAAAAGGGTCCACTGCGCTCTCCGACTTCTGCGCGGCCTTGAACGTTTCTCACAGAGGCCTTCACCATAAGACGTTCCAGCACCACTTGCCGACAGTGATGCAAGCCTGTGAGCTGTCAGCAGCAGCTTGTGAAGCAGGAAGTGTTGAAGCTGTGAGGACCCTCTATGCAGACTTTCTGAACCTTCCGAACAACATTGACGTCATGTATGATGGCACCTGGAAGACGCGGGGTCGCACGTCTCACATTGGTGTGGGCTGCATCGTGGAGCTATACACCGGCCTGGTGATCGACCACATCGTCCTCTGCAACCTCTGCTTGGGATGTTCACTTGG